TTAGCTAAAGCAGTCGGTAACTATTATGTGAAAAGGGAAAATGTTCAAGAAAGAACCTCTTTCAATTCTGTGCCCTTCATCTTCCATGTCACATGGCTGATAGCTCATTGACTCATTCCACTTCCCTGTCATCAATATTTTAGGTTCCTCCAAGCATTATAAACATAGCCATCCACTTCATAGCGACCAGCTCTGCAATCAAATAAAGCTGTAAATCAATTAACAGTTAGCCACTAAGCTCTAGTCAATTGCAAGTGATGTTAAAGTAAGCATGTTAGAAACACAAAACGAGTCATGGAAACACATTTTAGGGAGAAAGGACTTATCAAACTACAGAAAACATATGCATCTGATTGGTATGAGTTGCTCTGATAAATTAGTTTAGAGTGCAAGTCTGCACACACACAAGCCTCAAAGAGAGAGAGAACAAATATGGATGACAAAAGGGGAAGACAATATGATGCAAGTCAAGACCGTCAAATTAAATTTCATCTGAGAGCGCTCATTTTAAAGAATTCCACATGCATCAATGCTATTACCTTAAATTCCATAAGATGGTACACTGCATATGAATGCCAAAAAAAGCAAATGCTTACATTATGTTTAAAAAATAACAATTAAAACGAGGTATGGAGAATACCCAAACCAGCCATGTGGTTGAAAATACAGCACAACTTTGTCCCCGGTAGTCAAATTTGTCATGATCATCTCTGCTGGTGAATCAACCCAAGTTCGTCCAAAAATCAGATTCTTGACCTTGGTGGGAGGAAGCACTAAATCTAAAACCACACCATCTCTTCTAAGATTAACACACATTCTGCAAAGATTAACCTACATGAGTATTACCTTCCAACAAATATTAACCAATAACATACCAAAGAAACAAAAAGACATAGGGGGAAAAAAGATAGTTTACAGAAAATAACAACTTGAATGTTACCTTCCAACAGGAAAAACATCAAGAGAATTCCCCAAAAATTTAGTCTTTAACTTTGATGTCACATCATAAATTAAATGTTCATTTGCAACATGCCCAGCACTCATTGGAGGATGATGACTGACCTGAAATGATACTATAAGTCAAAACGAAAGAAATAACAGATAAAGTATGTTGTGAGAACACATATTTCATGAGCTCAATTTGATAAAACTAAACATACAAGATCCCATACTTGCTTGCAAAAAATGAAAGAGAGGAGAGGAAGGTATAGAAATCACCAGGCATGAAGTAACATGCACAGACATATAAGAATGAAAGATAGCATGCTTAAAATAATCAAATAACTTGAAAGCACCTGCTCAGAAATGAATGTAATCCCTCCATGATTAACCATCTCATAGGTTTCCCCAAGAATACGACTAAAAGGTTCCCATGTACGTTGGTAGGCATAGTACACAGATAAAGCCCATTATGCTGTACATGATGATGAATTCCATTAATCACAAAATTAAAACTAGAACTTGCCTCTTTAAATTAAATAAAATAAATGAAGTACACTCGCATGCATACACCAGTCGGAGATAGGTATCCTTGCTTTCATCTGCTTGGTCCAACAAGTAGGAGTATTCCATCAACAGCAAAATGAGTAGCACATTTACATATTGAAAAAAGAAAAATGCTGCATGCATGTAACAAACCTTAGCTAAGTAAAACAAACCTCTGCCATTTTTTGAAGCATAGTCATTGGTTCAAATATAAGGACAGGAAGCATAACCATTGATGTAACATCTGAACCTATATATTTGAGCATCATCTTCCAGTAGATCTCTCGTTCCTATAATAATAATAATAATAATAATAATAATAATAACAATAATAATAATAACAAAAATAATGGTCCTCAAAATATCATCCTATAAAATGAGGTAAAATAAAGTGATTAAGGAATGCACATCTTCATCTCCATAGCCCAAAATAAAAAAAAGTTACAAGTACAAGGGCCTATTTCTTTCCATTTTCAAATACAACCTCAGTTTAATAGTCAAAGAAACATTAAAGAAAACATGTAACAAAGAGTGATTCAACCATTGTTAAAAGTTCCACAAGACACAGACAGAGAGAGAGAGAGAGAGAGAGAGAGAGAGAGCAATGAAAGAAGAGTATCTGTTCAACATACCTATAAACCAGAGATCTAGAAAACATGTTTATAAGATATATAACTCCTGTTTCCATCTTCCTCTCTAAGCTTCCTCCTCGGCATCTTCCTTTTCTTCCTCTGGATTTATGACCTCTACCCCTTCATAACCAGTAACCTGAACGTCATTGGAAGAAGAAAATCATATGACGCCTCCTTTATAACAGGAAAATAAGACAACTTGATTAGGATGGAAACTGAAAAACAAAAGGAGTCAAAGCATACCAACCATTCCCATAATTCACTTGTATAATTCACCACAAGTGAATTATAATACACAAAAGAACACTTCATAATTAACAATCTATAATATGAAGTTTGCAAAAACAGAAGCAATAAATTGCTATTGCACACCCCTACAACCTCACACACATAGAAACAAACAAGATTAATCCAATCGACAATCTTTAAATGGCTACTTATCTGCCAAGGTGCCTAAGCAGTTACCCACCACAAATTCCATGAAGAACCTTTTAGTGTTCTATTGGAAAGCCTACACTAAGAAAGGGGAGAGGGGAATGGTAAAAGTAAGGGTATAATCAAGCCAAACTTAATCGATGCAGTGAGAAGCATGAGTTCGAGCTTGACTCAAAATTCACAACTCAAAACTCTGCTTGAGCTTGATCCAGTTTTAAATTTCAAGCTTGAGCTTAATTTGAGATAAAAGTCAAGTTACTCGATCGATATCGATTAGACTCATTTATTAAATAAAATAACGAGTTCGATTCCTATACTCAACTTCAAGCTCAATTATTTGTGTTCAAACTTTAGCTTGAATTCATATATATATATATATATATATATATATAAGAGTAAAATAGTAATTTTTAATTAAAACGATAAAAATATATATTAAAATATAAAAATTTGACACAAATTGCTCGAATTCAACTCGATAATGATCAAATCGAATTTGAGTTTTATCCAAGTTGAGTCCAAATAGTTTGCAAGTGTAGATTTACATTCCGAGGTAAAAGCACCACACAAAAGTAAATAAGTTCTAACATATAGCACAATGCCTGCAAAGGAGAGAAAAAAAAAGAAGACACAATCAGAAACCAATTTAGAAACCCGATAAACAAACCTAGGCATCAAATCTTTCAGGTTGATAATATATAATGTCCACATGTAAGAAAAATACTAGCACTCTTCTATAACCGGATTGACTTCAGAAAGAGAAGTAGACTCAACTTGTTTCATCAATTAAATAAAGCTGAATTGCATTGTCTGGAACAAGTAAAATTATTTCAATAACCATTGCATAGCCTTGCATCTAAGTAAGAAAAGTGTCAAAGAAGAATATTTAACGATGAAATCAAAGATTTTAAAGAAATAAAAATAAAAAAGGAAAAAAATGAAAAATTTAAAGAAATGATCGAATAATTCGAACCGTCAAATAAAAGATTTAGCTTCAAGGTGATGCGTAATTGAAGAATCGAATCCTATTCGAGAAAAGAAGCAAAGCAAAAAACGACGTCATAACCAGAAAAAAAAAAAAAAAAAGAAATTTACCCGTTGACAGATCTGTGCATGGCGTTGCCAAACATAGATAAACCTGAGCTCATCGCCGCGAAAAATCCTTTTCTGTGATTCTTCTTTGGACTTCCCATTTTTGTTCAAGAATTCAACTTAAAAGCTCAATCGAATATTTATTTATTCAGAAGAGAAAATCGAGGCAAAGGGAAAAGGGCATTGAGATTTTGAGAGTGGAAAAAATATTCAAGAAAGTGTGACGAAGAAGAAGAGGGTGGGATATGTAATTTTAGTGAAACAGCGAGGATACTGGGATTTATTGAGTATTTATAGCAATTATTAAATGGAATAAAAGATAATTCTGTCATTATATTATACGTGAAGGGTAAATTTTGCAATTGTAATTTGTAAACAAGGCAAGATTATTTTTAGATTTCTTTTGGAATCGGACTATTTGCACTTAAAAAACTCTCAATACATCTAAAAAAAATTAAGCACTAAAAAAATTATTTAAATATTTATTAATTAATTATTTTTTTATCTTTTATTTTTTTAATAAGTTATCAAAAATAAATTTTTAAAATTTTTTTCATATACTAAAAATTCATTTTTAGAATTTTTTTAACTCTACCGAAAATTTATTTCTTGAAAATATTATAACTATCCAAAAACTTCAATGAATCTCTAATTCACAAAAAAAGTTTTTGAATATTTATTTTAAAAAATTTTAATAATTTTTGAAAAATTATTTTTGAAATACTAAAATGATTGTCTTAAATCGCACTCATAAATTTAAAATTTTAAATCTTTTAAAATTAAACATAAAATTAAATAAAAAATAATTTATTTACGATTTAAAGTATCTAACAATAAATGAATGATTGTAACTTGATTTGAGGCTTTTAATCTCTTAAAAATTTAAGGTTTTTTGTGAAAAAAATAAAGAAAAGAATTGTAAATTAATGATTTAGATTTTTTTAGTAAATTAATGATTTAGTTTATGGTGTAAAAAATATATATATGTTAATAATAATGGGTGTAAAGAAAGGAAGCGAGGGTATAAATACCATTACTCTTTCTTTTATTACAATCTTAAACAATATTTACAATTTTTTTTTTCGTTTCAAAGACGATAAAATCCTACAACAAGAGAGGGAGAAAAGAAGGAATTTTGTGCCTTCTTAAGGCTTTTTTAACCATTAGATGAATACGTTAAAAACATAGATACATTTTTTTTAAATTATAAAAAAGAGTCAACAGTTCGAAATGACCAAATGCCCCAACAAAATTTTCAAGTAAAAAAAATGAAAATAAAAATAAATTGCAGCTAATAAAATACTTATTATTAAAAGAAAAAATAAAATAAAAGAAATAATAATAATAAATATAATAATCTTCTTCGTCAGACTTCAAATTCCAATGCCTTTAGATCTACATCAAAGCATTTCGAAATTTTTAAAGATTTTCACCATCCAAAACCCTAACCTAGATTTAACTTCAAAATTGATAAAAATTTCCTCTTTTACTTATAACTGAAAGAGTCCTTGAGAAACTCGATCAAAATTGACTATGAAAGAAACGAAATCAGTTAAATTGAACTCACAGCAACACGAAAACGGTCACTTTTCTCCGTTCAAATTCGCCAAGTTATTAGATCCAGAAGCTTCTTGGGACAAGGTAAATCTTTTTGTTTTATCTAGCGTTAATTTGTTTGACTTTATTTGAAAGTTTTACTATTAATTACGGTGAACTAGTAACTGTAATTTTAGTTATTTTGCTCTAATTAGGCGCTTAATTGAGCTAATTCAGTTCTGGAAGTAGTTTAATTTAATGGGTTTTTTCCCTGTTAAATGGGGTTTTAATGAACGGAACTTGAACTGGGTAAATTTGAAAAAAGAAATTGATGATGGGTTTTGGTTGATTTTTGGAGCAGGATCAATTAGGAGATGTGTTGCATTGGATTCGACAAGTTGTAGCTCTTTTCTGTGGGCTATTATGGGGTGCAATCCCTGTCGTTGGAAGCATTTGGATCTTCATGTAAGTTCTCAGATTCATGTTGCATGTGTTCGGAAATTGCAGTGTTTCGGATTTGTATTGGATTGTTGAATCTGTCCCTAGTTTGATGACTTCACTAGTTATTCAGATGCCATAATGTGATGTGAGCTTAAGGAATGCTTTTGTGATGGTTTATGCTAGTTCAAAATAGGGATGGAGGTTTGAAATATGCACTGGTGTAATTGGATGGCTACTGATGTTGAGATATGGTGATTAGAGTTTGATAAAATCGTAGATCAGCTGACAATTAATCACCGATCTTACTGATTAAGTTGTGCATAAATAAGGATTCTAAAAACATCTTAAGCTATCAGTCAGGCAAGCATAGTTGCATTTTAAATTTTTGCACAAAAGCTACCTGAGTGTGTTTTAGTAGATAATTGTTGGTTTTCTGGAACCGCATCTAATCACTAAATGTGGTGGTGTATTTTGCTACATGGATGGCACTTTTCACCAGTGGAGTTTCTTTATAAATCTCTTTTTTTTTCTTTACTTAAAGCCGTACATGTCCTTATACACGTGCATACCATGGTTCTTTTCTATGTATTTTTCCTTGTCTCTATTGACAGTTTTGAATGCACTATCTAATACTGGTGTTTTGGAATTGATAGGTTAAATATAAGATTTCAACTTGGATTTATTGAGCATGAAATGTGTATGTCACCATCCCATTCCTTTGAAAGGACTATTGGTGTTGTCTTGATGGTGCCAACAATTTTAAAACTTCAATTTCAGTTTTCAACTTTTCCTCTGTAACAATGTTGAGGGATTTATTCTGCCAACTTCCCCTATATTGAATGTCTTGATTTCCACCTAGCGTTTGCATAAAATTCACTCTATAAGCAAATAATAGTAGTATTTTCATTCTCCTGTATTTTTTATCATAATTTTTCTTTGCTAAGCTTTCAGTTAATGGTTTGATGTTGATATCTGTTTGCAGTTTTCTGGCAATATCCACTGGGATTATATATGGTTATTACGCAATGATCCTAAAGATTGATGAAGAAGAATTTGGTGGTCATGCAGCCCTTCTCCAAGAAGGGCTTTTTGCTTCAATAACTCTCTTTCTGGTGCTTAAATAACTTTTCGTTATTTCTTTCATGTTCAAATGCTTGCACTGCATAATATTCCGAAAGGGAGCTTTTCCCATATTTATAGCTAACAAAAACCCTCTTTTGTCTGTTCAGTTGGCGTGGATTCTGGTATACAGCTTGGCCCACTTTTGATATGGTCTGTATCATTTGGCTGCCCTCTGTTTCTAAGTCACATTTCAAGGATTTTATTCTGTTAGATGAGGAACCATTCATTGTTATCTGAAAAGAATGAGAAACTTTCTTAGTTGAGAAATGCCAATAGCTATTACTTTTTACATTTCATTGTGCAACATTTTGAATTTGCAGATCCTCAAGCTATTTTATTTTTTTATCATGGTATATACATGTTTGCTTTCAGTCAGTGTTACCTTCATAAAAATCCCACAGAATGTAGCAATTTGTGGTGCAAGCACCTGATGCTAATCTAAACACTGATCTAAACACTGTTTTTCTTGCTTCAAATAATCTGTTGCCAGCAAACTTTCTGGTTGATATCAGATAAATGTTGAATTTGTGTGGTTTTTGGTAGCAAGATATTATTTGTTTTCTATATCATTTTTTATTGAAAGAGGTTGGTGAATTCCAGATTTCTAGGCCTCCTTGTGGTTCCCTGTTTGTAAACTCTTCCACGGGCATTTAGACACCCAATGTTCCATGACATGCTCTGTTAATTTAAGTGACAACAAGGCCTATTGGGGTTGGGGATGCATGAAATTTTTGCACTTGTATTATTTACGAATTTCCCTAGATTTATTCATTGTTTTAATCAGAATCAAGTGTTCTGTTCCTTTTCTTTTTTCCTCCCTTACAAGGCATTACTGCATTTAAAGCTTTTATCTTCAGACGTTTTTTGAACATGATGGATAACCCATGTATGCCTATATAGTCTACGAAAGTGTGCTCAGTCAGTTGTACTTAAGGTGTGCAAAATGTGAAGTGAGTAGACGACTAAATCAAGACAGCTAGTTTTGTATATTAGTGAGCATGCACACTCATGTTTGCATGATTTTCAGTGTTTGGATTTGTGATAACCATGGGAATGTTAAGAGTTAGGAATTGGGATTGGAAAACGCCTCAAATCATTGCTGTTTGATTGCTTCTGTTCAAATATTGGGTTACGGGGTGGCTGATGTGATGAATGGATATCTTGCGGCTTTGCCTGGAGTTGCCCCACTTCAACCATGCTGGAAAGATTACAAGATGACGATATCAAGTCGATTGTTATTAACATTCTACAACAACAAAAGATTAGTTCTTGAAAGGAAGATACTAAAATGTTCTATACAAGTTATTTTAGGAGTCTCATCAGTTAATTCTACAATATAAGAAGTCCAGCCGTCAATTTACGTGTAACGAAAACTTCGGCTAAAATCATTTATTTTATCCCTCAAAAAGCGTGAAAATCATGCTTCTATTAAGAGTTTACGAAGGAGTCGTGTATGCTTTGCAGATGGCTCACATCCACCTCCAAATTCTACCCCTTTGTCACGGCCATTTACCCATCTTCTGCTAATTCTCTACACAGATTGCTGCACAATGGCAATCAACCGTGTGAACAAAAAGCCCTATTCCAAATTCTACCTCTTTGTCATGGCCATTTACCCATCTTCTGCCAATTCTAGATACAGATTGCTGCTCAACGGCAATCATCAACCGTGTGAACAAAAAGCCTTATGTGTTTGTCTGGGAAAATAACTGTATAGTTTTACAGAGTAATTTATTGTGATAAAATGGATAGTGATGAAAAAGATTAGACCAGAAGAGAGAGATTGGACCAAAAAAAGAGTAGAATACGAGATCAGAAAAAAAAAATTCGAGAAAAAATTTAGTGATAATTTTCATTCATAATCTTAAAATGATCGTTTACAGGTTTATAAGTCATTCCCAATCTAATTTTCTCATTATTGCATGACTATTACACAATTATTCGCTCGTTTGCAGGTTTATAAGTCATTTCCAGTTTTACAAATTTATAAATCATTCATAATATTCCCACTATTGCACAACTATCACACAATTATTCTCACTATTCCTAGTATTTCCATAACTACTATCATTATTTTCAGTATTCTTATTATCACATAACTAATTGATAACCAAAGTCGTTATACTTCCGGTGGTAGTTATCAACATCTTTTACTTCTTTCTGTGACTTCATTTTCATTATGCTGACAAATTCTTTCGTAATACAAGCATTTTTGTCTTTCAATCTATTATCATCGTTCCCGCAACTAGACAATAACATCACATTTATCATATATAAACCATACAAAAATTATGAAAAGAAAAGACCAAAATGGTATGCTGATTCAAGTGATTTTAAACACTGAAACAACTAAGAAACCCTGGGTTTGCACGAAGGGCCCTCCTCCTTGGCGCTAGGGAAGCCCTGGGTCTTCCGGAGAAACCCGAGGCCCGAACCGAAGACGGGGGTCCGGGTGGCCCTGTATAAGGATAGCTTTACGACGGTGGATACGATCACGTGAGGTCTAATGTTGTGGCACGTACCGGCCGTGAACCAAAAAACCAAAAAAAAAAAAAAAAGGCTGCTATTACAACTGCCTTGACAAAGCGAACATTTGGCATCTGGAAACTGGAACTGATTTTGTGGCCACGAAAAGGATTAAACAAAATTTTGAATGATTTAATTTGGAGAATTGGGGATTTGGGTTTATATGTTTCCATTTTTGTGATTGGTTCTGGATTTTAGTTTCCGCCAAAAGAAAGAACAAATTCAGAGTCATGCATCAATCAAGGAGAAAAGACTGGAGTCTGTAGATAACAATAATCTTCAATGAGTACATTTTCTAAATTGGTACTACTATTTACAATAATTCAAAGAAATTTCCTGATTGTTAGATTAAAAGGAAAAGTTGGATCACTTTCTTGGAGCTCCCTCAATTTCCCCTATGAAAATACTTTCAAGATTCATGCGCCAAGTTTCCTAAGTTTGCTTGAAAAGAAAGGATCCCATTCATGGACCCCAAGTTTCCCAAATGTGAAATACTTCCAAGACTCTTCTTCATCAAATTCAGAATTCACTTCTTTCCTATCTCTCATTTGGTTCCTAACTGTCTCAATTCTGTCAAGAACTCCTTTAACTGTGAGATCAAATGCATCTTCAGTTGACTCCAATCTTGATGAGGGATCTGCATATATCATCTTTGGAATCAGCTTTATAATCTCCCTCCCTCATAGCTACTCTTCTTCCTCTTGGGATTCCTTGCAATATTCTTTCAATGTTGGCTTTCCCAGATTTCACATCATTTGCCCGTATCAGCACCGAGTATTTAGTATAATCCTTGGGAAAATGCCATATATATTGAACATAAGCTGATCCTGGTTGGAAGAAAACTGGAATGCAACCAGCCAAGATTGAATCAAATATTGACCTCCTGGTGTAGGAATCGCCTGGAAGTTGTAGACAGAAGAAAGAACTTTTAAACAACTTCATCAAAAAAACTGGCTTGTGGCATTTCTGGCTTTTATCACATTCCAGGAACCTGCATTTCCTTCTTGAAGCTAGGCACTTATCAATAATTTCGTTGCGGATAGATTCATGGAGATTAGGCCTTCGTGCACTCGCAAAAGAGAAAAAGAATTGCCTTTTTTGTCATCTCATTCTGTTCTGCCATTGAAACACATCATCGTCTCTTGAAGAATGAAAATATGTAGGACATGGTATCGCAAAATCATTGTTGTTCCATGGACTTGACTCAATTACCAACATCATGTTCCTTGATTCAGAAAAATTCAAAAGCTCATTGCCCCAATCAGACTCATTTTTGTGGTCTCTCCTGAAATCCTATTTAATTCTTCCTGCAACCAAGAAATGGTCTCTAAACCACATTTTTTTCCATTCAGGTCTTGCTGCAAGCCACTTGACAAGATTAAGGGCATCATAGTCTCTCATAAACCCATCAGGATCCCAAAGGTAGCGACCAACATCAAGGCCAGCATAATAAGGAACATAGATCACTGAAGCTACCGATGGATCTTTCGTTAAGCACTTATACTGTCTGCTGTGGAAAATGACTTCTAATAGGAATTGGTTTGTAGCAAACCAGCCTGTTCTTGAATAAAGCAGATCATTACTTGGAAGAAAGGCACCTAGGCCAAGGTTTGATGCGCACTTACACGTTGTCCATATTAAGCATTTAATTTAAAATTAGTTTACATTAAATAGAGAGATCAAACTTTAATATAAGATTATAAGACGTGGGATAATTCACTTTAACAAATCCCATAACTTTTAAATGAAGATGAAAAAAACTTACCACGTAACCGATTTGACAATGGCAAGCGAAAATAAAAAAAAACCTATCACGTGATAAATTTAAAAAAAATAATTTAAGAAAAATATGGCTCTAATATCATATTACATTTAATTTAAAATCAATTGATTGTAAGTGGAGGGATATAATCTGAATATAAAATTATAGATTATTAAATGTAAGATAACTCACTTTAACAAATTTTCATTACATGTAGGCAAAAATGAAAAAAAATCTCTCACATGATAAATTTGAAAAGAATAACAAAAAAAAATTCTAACACTTATACTATATTAAGCATCCAACTTAAAACTAATTAATAATAAGTTGAGAGATCGACCTGAATATATAAGACTATAAAATGTGGGATAATCTATTTTAATAGGTTCATATGTAGATAAAAAAAAAAAAAAATCTATCACGTGATAGATTTGAAAAAAATAATAAAAAAAATTGACTTTGACATTACATTAAATATCCAACTTAAAATCAATTGAATCTAATTTGAATATAAAACTAAAAAAATTAAATATTTATTAAACGCGAAATAAATTTTTAACAGTCCATAGTTAATTTTCTGGGAGATTATGAATATCTACGTACCGTCCAGAACAGGAAGATGAATCAGATTCAGTTTTTACCACATTTTCTCTTCTTGGTTCCACTGTAACGTTCTCTATTCTTTTCTCCATGGGAGGAGATGAATCAGCAGGTTTATTCCTGTTTCTTTTCCTGGGACGCTTGGCCTTTTCCCTTCTGCTTTTGACAATGGGAAGTGAGTCAACAGGTTGATCCTCGGCATTCTCTTCTCTTTGTAATTCGAAAACATTTTCAGTTCCTTTTTGTTTGGCCATTTCTTCCTTTTTCTTCCATGGAAGATGAATCAATAGGTTTATCCTCATCCCTGATATTAACCACTTCATTACTTAATTCATCTTCATTTTCTTTGCCAGTGATTGTCTCAGCAGATTCAGTTTCATTCTCTTCAGCCACTGTTTGGTTGCCGGCTTCCAAATCTTTGTCCACACCCAATACCTGATCTATATGTTTAGCCCCATCAACATAGAACTTAGCATGTTTCTACTCTCTCTATATCATTATTGGCCTCTACCTCATTATTATCACCAATATGAATAACATCAGTAGACTCATCTGTTTCTTCTTTAGCTACATCATGAAAAGACTCGGATGAATATACAAAACCCGTATGATTGTTGCCCAAGAAACTATCTCCCTTCTTGCTAAAAGTAATAGATGAAGAATACAAGTAAAACAATGTGACCATAAGAGAAGAGAGATCAAAACAATGTACCAGGATTGGGTATTTTCGACTCATTGGTTTCTCTATTAACGCTTCACTGCTCATAGTTATATGTTTCATGCAGAAGCGTTTTTATTCACATAGAATTTACGAAGTGAAGAGATTGTAAACACGGAAAAGAAAAGAAGGCTAAGAGGGTAAATGAATCTGGAAAGTCATGCTCATGCAGGGTTTGCTTGAAAATCAATGCAAGAATCTTTGCTAGGGAAAATGAGAGAGAATGGAAGATTTTTGAACCATTCAAGATTTTGGTGCATAGAATTAAATGTTATTAAAGGAAATTTTCTATATATAAAAATTCAAATATGCATTAAAAAAATGAAATTGTAAACCAATTGGATATCAATTTTTAGATTGGAATGACATTTGCTGATACAAAATCAGCATTTTTTTTTACAATATGTTCCCATGCTTAATGGCTTGCGCTTCTTCATGATTTCTCATATTTTTCTGCTTTATCTGTTAAAAATAGAAGGAAAATTCAAGCAGATGAACTCAGGCTGCCTAGCCCAACTTATATAATAATAGTAGTGTCCTCTGTCCAATAAGGAAGAAGAGGAAGATATTGGAGCCGCCGTTATGCGAACTATAAAACCTTGGAGTTGGGGGATTAATTGGCCAAAGTTGCCGTACAGGAGCGTAGAATCTAAATTTGATGGCCCCAAATTTGGGGTATGATGCACTGTATCTTTGTCAGTCAAAAACCAGTTTTACAGGTGAATAGAGTGATAATCCATCGGATTGAATTTATCAATTTGATTTTTTTAAAAATATATAGTATTATAAATTTTTAAAATTTGATTTAAATTTAAATAGATCTTTTTTTAAATTGATTTTATACAAATCACAATTTATTCATCAGTTTTTAAATTTTATTTTTATATATTATTTAAATAAAAATTTTAATGTATTTAAATAAATTTATATATAAAATAATTATTTTATTTTATAAAAATTTAAAATATATATATAAATTAATAAAAATATATAATTCTATTTGATTCTATTTTTTCACATATTGATTTAAAATTTGATCTAAATATAATATATTTAATATCTGATATTGATCCAAAATGAATAAAATAAATTAATTCAAATAAAATTAAACAATATGATTACAAATTAGTTTTCAATTTTTTTGATTTTTTTCTCACACTTATTGCTAGATGACCTTCCCTTACTTCATTGCTTCATCATTTCCATTGACAGAGTTAGATTCTAGTGTTACAAACTTAAAGAAGAATCTTGAATCCCACGTCGAATATAAAAAAAAGTTCACTAAAGTATAAAAGGGTTTACATTATCTCATGATGCACCTTTTATAAAATAAAATTGTGAGATCAGGGTGTCAGAGTAAATAATACTTCATAAGAGTGTGAACCATAATAGATAGGTTGATCTGAAAAATCGGATGAGTGAATATAAGAGTTTCAAAGCTACTCGAATTTAGAGCTTAAGTGTCGACAAGTGATATTAGCACATGACATTTGCTTGTAAATTTTACTCTATTAATATTTAATAGTAAATTACACTTTGTTGATGCAATTGTTAATACAAAATTATTGACATGTATTTATTATAACATATTATCTACTTTGAGGATGGGATATGCCCTCAAAGACTTTCTCCTTAAATGCTTAGCCTGCCGACGACTTTAGACTTAAATCAAACATGCCGATTTTGGCAAGGCGAAGGGTCCCATTTGAAAACTAATGCTTAGCCTTCAGTCCTTTGGGCTTATCAATCAGGTTCAAGTGCTTGTCAATAACATCTTCTTCACACTCTTTAGTCCTGTTACGCGCTTTTATGCGGTCCATGGTCAACTTAGTCAATGCTTGATCAATGTAGCCATATCTTGAGGCGGTCCAGATTAGGCATGTCCAGAGTACCATGTCATCTATTTTCAAGAAAATGGCTCGTCTCTTGATAAGAAATAGACTCGTCCAACATTTTACTAAAGAATTAATTACTTAATATTTAATTTATTTAAAATTATTAAATACAATATATATTAATTTGTAATCATTAAATATAATTCACATTTATTTACATGATTTTTTTTTCAAATTTTATATAAAAATTTCATCAATTATCAATTATTATAATCAAATCATCGTTCATTGATCTCGTATATAAAGTAAAAGATGATCGAATATGTAAGAATAACCTTACACACCCAAGATTCTCACTCTCTAAAGTTTCTTGTGCATACTTCACCAACTTTATCCTTCTTATTCTTTATTTTATTTAAGATAAACCATTAACTTGAGTATTAAAACTTATCCTAAAGCAACAACTCCAATGCTCCTAACAATATTTTTTAACAAGTTTTAATTATCTTCTCTTTAACCTTACCTCACTTCATTCTAGCTAAGAAACCCGAAAACACCATTAACAAGTCCTTATCCTAAAGAAAAAATTAACAATCAAGAAAAAAATAAAAAAACCAAAGATTATCATTGTGTAGGAGAAAAATTCAAAGAGCCACCAACACCAAGCACTTGTTTATTTCCATTTTTTTTTTTTTGTCTAGTTATCACCGTTTGCTTTGGATGTTTTTGTCTTGAATCTGTTGTTAAGATTCATAAATTAAAACCCCAAAAGAACAATGTCCCAACAAATGCCGAACATGGGATCGTTTCACAACATCACGAACAAAACGGACCCATTATTTCTTATATAAAATATCCATTCAATTTATTAGGACGGGTTCAAAGTTATGCTTTCTTCATCTTTCCGGTTTCCTTTTGTTTTTTCTTGTCGATATCAATATCGTAGAGAAAAATCCAAGCACATATTCCCCACCATAGTCATAGCTAAATCAAAACATAATTTATTTCCACCTGATTATAAAGTATTAACTTTTTATTTTTTTAGGTGTCCATGATTTTAACTATAAAAAGTTCTTTACTTTGCCCACGTTCATATAATTTATTCTTAAAGTATTAAAATTTTTTATTATAACGTAGAGATGAAAATAATTTAGATTAAATCGAATTTGATTTGATTTTTTAGATAATGCATAAAATTATATGTTTTAATATCTTATCTAAATTTAAATCAAATTTTTATATAATTCAATCTGAATTAAATTCTACCAATTTGATTGATTTTTCGATTTTTTAAATTTAAATTTTAAATTTTTTAATTTTATTTCAATAAAATTTAATATATTAAAATAGATATTAAGTATAAAAATAATTATTTTTATTTAATGAAAATTTAAATATATATATATAAATTAATAAAAATATATAATTTGATTTGATTCTATTTTTTTTATTTTTTATTTTTTGATCCAAAATCTTATTTGAATTTAATATATATATTTGATATTTCATGTTAATCTGAATTGAATAAAAATAAAAAAATCATTTCAATTTGAATCATATATCATAATTTTAAATCGAGTTTTTAGTGTTCTTATTTTTTTCACCCTTATCACAATGATCATAATTTTTTATATATTTTTAAATCATAATTAGAATTCGAATTCAAAATCTAAAATTTTAAAATTGATTTCAATATTATTAAACTAATATAAAAAGAAAATTGATGACTTAATATAGCAATTAATTAGTTGCCACGATATAAAATCAATTTAAGAACAATCATATTGCCAAATTATTTCATTTGGTCCTAATAAAACAATAAAATCATATGGTATTATATTATATGCAATGATTTTTTAATCGAATAATAAGAATATAAAATCCTAAGATTACAAAATGAAATCCAACATCAACAAACAAAGATCCTCAAACGTGTGCCAAAGAATCCTTTGGCCAATGGTTACTTTTTAGAAAAAAAAAAATTTTAATACTTCATTATTTGCACGTTACACGTGTACATGTTTAAGCAATGCTTTATTTTTGTAATAGTTTGTGTAATTACCTACTCAAAACATACTAATGATTTTTTTTTAATAAATCCTTCCTTTCTATCCATATTTAAATAAAACAAAAATCCTCATTATAAATGATATTTTTATTTAATATGGTTCAAGCAAAAAAAAAAAATCACGTGAAAACTTAAAAGCCTGAAACTAACCTATGAACAGTTTCAAAATCATCAAAAAGCATTAAAATAGAAAGCACAAAAAAAAAAAACCTCATAAAAAAAAAAAAGTAATTAAAATTAAATTTGATAATTTATATATTTATATCATATAAAATATTTATATATTTATATTATATTTTATATAAAAATTATGAATAAATTAATAAAAATAAAATATATATGTTTTATTTTATTAATTTATTTATTATTTTATTAAAATTTTAAATTATATTATTTTTATATCATATCACGTTTATTTAATTATCAGCTATAAGAGAATTTATATGCACTCTAAACACAGAGATAGAAAGAGGAGAGAGAATCGTGTGATATTAGAAAACCAGGCAAGCCTTGAAAAAAATAAAACATATTCATTCTCATTCCAAAATATTAGAACAACGTTAATTTATTTGCACATTGGGAAGCCCTCCATGTGTTTTTTTCTTGTCTTTGGTTTATTCCTTAACTAAAAACCAAACACAAGTACCCCTGAAAGAGTGAAAAAGGACAACAAAAAACCCATGTATTTTCTCTCTTTGGCTCTGATGTTTTTTTGAATTGTTTGGGTTTTTTAGATTGGGATGGATTCTGGGATTGAAATCAAGGTGATGAATCCAAGGAGGGGAGACAATTTGGTGCATCCTGTGGGAGTAGGACATGCCACGTCAGCATCATCAGCACCACTGTCATCCACGTCATCGCCGCTGCCTGATGAACGGGGGCTGCGGCAGCAGCAGCAGCAAGAGCAGGGGCTGAGGCAAGGACAGCAAAGGCAAGGGTTGATTGATTTTAAGCCGCTTAAAAAGTGGGTGCCTTGGATTGTTCCAGGCTTTGTTTTGGCTAATATAGTCGTTTTTGTAATAACCATGTTCATTAATGATTGCCCCAAGAACTCGGTTTCTTGTGTGGCAGGGTTCTTGGGAAGATTCTCTTTTCAGCCATTGAAAGAGAACCCTCTCCTTGGCCCTTCTTCTTCTACGTAAGTCTCTCTTTCTCAATGCATAAATGTATCTTCTTTTATTATGTCTTTTAGAAAAATATAAGCTTTATAGGAATCTTCGGGATCATTTCTTTGTTTGACAGAAACTTTGGATTGGTAAACTTGGCTGCCACATTACTTCTGTTTTTTTGTTCTTTATTTTGGCGGTGGGTTCCATTGCATATTTTGTTGGTTTAAGGTTGATAAGGTAGCAGATGAAATCATGATCATAAGGTGGAATGTGTAAAGTTAACTCACAGAAAAGCAGTTTTATGGAAACTTCTGAAATTTATTGTGCTGGAATGATCATTAATTTAGCTTCTAGAGAATGATTTCGGGAAATTTAAAGTAATAAGTAAACAATTCGAAATTTGGACTGCCTGATCTGGCTGTCAATTCCACAAAATAGACACAGCTTGATTTATACAGATCGATATTTGAAATCTATGGTTAGTCTTCATTTATTATATCGACTTTTAGAAAGAAATTTATGGCCAGTTTTTACACTTTCTGCTTTAGATGTCTTCTGGGAAGAGTATATAACAATTAAAAATTGTTAGGATGATGTCTCTTTCTCCATACCCTGAAGCCTTTGAGTATCTGTATGAAGGCTGCTTTTCTGAAAAATGTTTTTCAAAGTCTTCTCTGCATTTGGCTTATCTACAATTTTATTTAGGAAAATATCTCTGTATTGTATTGTTATAGATGCTAAATACAAGTTCATGTCTGGCCTGTCCTGATATGTTTTCGTTTCATCAGATTAGAGACAATGGGTGCTCTAGAAGTGTCTAAAGTTGTCCATAGACATCAGGCATGGCGCCTGATATCTTGTATATGGTTGCATGCTGGGGTTTTCCACATACTTGCCAATATGTTGAGTCTCGTATTCATTGGAATTGGGCTTGAGCAGGAATTTGGGTTTGGTATGCTTCTTATTCCCAGCTTAAACTTTGTTACCGTAGATGACATCAATCTGTATGGGCATTTACTGCTTAAGACTGACTATTTACTACATAATGTAATTGTTGTTTTTTACAAAATTGAGATTTGAGTAAGCTACATTTCTACGACTAATTGCTTTCCAAGTTCCCATGCTAAGTTGGTCATAAGATTAATTCATTGTCCTTAGATCCTCATATGTCAGAGTATGGCTAGTTATTATTTATTTCTTTTGCAATATTTGTGTAAAGTATTGAGTAGTCATATCAGGCCTTGGAAATATCTCTCTACAGAGCTGTTTTATCTTTATTTGTCTGAGTTAATTAGCTTTGCAAGTCCTTTAAAAATTAAATTCAACAACATGATGGCAAGCGCATACCTGAGTTGGCTTATTATTGCAGTTAATTTGTGTGGGATCACAGTGCATAATTTTAGAAATGAAGGACGGCTTGAAAACCTAGATTACAAAACCACACCACAAAGAGTCTGCTCAGCTGTCTATCGGTTTAAGGGACTTTCTGCAGTGGTTGATAAAGGTCACATCCTGGGCTAGTGGTTAAATGTGTGTTTCATATGAGTTTGGACTTTAATATGCTTAGACAAGGGTTTGTTGATAGCAGTTAGCGGTGCTTAATTTAAGCACGGTAGCACAAAGTCTGTCTGCGATGCAGTGCTTCTTAAGGGTTTTTATCTTTGGTTATTCTGCTCAACTATAGCATCAATTATTCTGCTGCTGTTTTGCATTCTGGGATACTGTTGAACTGCAAAACATTACTGCCATGATGAGTTAGAAACTTTCTAAGTGCCCTTTCCTTCTTTTGATATCAGCATTCTTTTAGGATAGTGGGTAGAGAAGAATGGGAAAGAACCTTTGAACTTGTTTTTGGAATTGCTTTCCATTTACCTACTGAAAAGTTATTTTTCTAGTTAAAAGGTATTAAATTCTAATTCCTCTTTGGTATCTTTCTGCAGTGAGAATTGGGTTGGTTTATCTAATTGCTGGTTTTGGTGGGAGTTTGATGTCATCCCTTTTTATTCAGACTGGTATATCAGTTGGCGCATCTGGTGCACTTTTTGGTTTATTAGGAAGCATGCTTTCGGAACTCATCACAAACTGGACAATATATGCAAATAAGGCATGCAAGATTGCACTGATATTTCATTCTTCAGAGTTTGTTACATCTGTGAGCAAATTATCTTACAGTCTCAGTTTTCTATGTGCAGTTAGCGGCACTGTTGACTCTCATTTTGATTATCGTAATAAATCTAGCCATGGGAATCCTCCCCCATGTGGATAACTTTGCTCATATCGGGGGATTTCTTTCTGGATTTCTCCTTGGATTTGTGTTTCTAATTCGTCCCCAGTTTGGATATGTTAGTGAGAAGCATGTTCCTCCAGGATATATTGCAGCCTCTCGCAAACCTAAACACAAGCCATACCAGTATGTCCTGTGGGTCATCTCTCTGATACTATTGATTGTTGGGTAAGTACATGGAATCCTTTTATGTTTCAATTCAAGAAACTTTGTATATGAAAAATAAAATTATGCATCTTCATGATCAAAACAGGCTATTGCCTTCTAAATGTACATGAATGATATTTAAACTGATTCTTCTCTCAAGCTACTCGATTTCTGTGACTGATCATTTGGTCTCGTCAATAATTACACCCATAACCCAATGTTTCTATGTATGAACAACTGGGAGATTAATATACTTTTGCTGATGTGCATTGATTGAGGCATAACACAAGTTAATGTGAGCTAGGTATAATTAGACATGTTATCTTAACACAAGTTTCATATTTTTTCAGATACACTGTTGGCCTAGTTCTGCTCCTTCGGGGGGTCAACTTGAATGACCACTGTTCTTGGTGTCATTATATGAGTTGCATCCCGACTTCATTGTGGAGCTGCAAATCACAGCAAGCGTATTGTGAGGTGAGTGGTGCTGCTCCTTCTGTTTACCGGTGCCTTATGAGTTTTGTTTCATAACTTTTGTTCATTCACAATCAGATTGAAGCATCACAATATCTCAATTCATTCTTATAAAGGGTCTTTCTAAAATGATCAGCGAGTGCACTTGTTGGAATTTTTTATTATAAAAATATTTAATTTAATGCATGGGGAATCACCACATTCACAGTCAACTGCCGTATTGAACGTGAAAATATTTCCAAAAAATCACTTATCTAGTGATCTTAAGGCACTTGCTAGTATATGCTCGTAAACAAAATGTATAACAACAACTTTTGGAGTATCAAACAGCTCTTTTGCACGCATTACTAGGTTGAACTAATATTTATTCTTGTTCACCATAATTCTGCATATGGCTCTATATTCATAGATTATATATTATACTTTGTTCATTGGTTGAAATATACGCATTATTCATTTATTCACTAATTTTATTGCAGTCAATCCAATATGGGAATCAGCTGAACTTGACATGCATAAGCAATGGAAAAAGCAACATCTATACATTATCAGGTGAAAGACCTTCCCAGGCTCAACAGCTATGTTCTAATCTCTGCGGTTGATGCAGGTGCATGTACATGATCTTTGGAAAATATTCGAGCCTCAACTTCATTTTCGACGTATTAGATGGAAATAATTCTGCATTGACAATTTGGGAAACCATAATATTTCAATTGTATTAGGGAGGATTTGTTTTCCAACAAGATGAAAAGAAGGCATTCCTTTAATTATTTATCTTCGATTCAAATTACTTCTCCAATTGCACTTGGCTTAGAATTTTCAGGACAATGGCTGTTCATTTTATTCCCATATTCTTACGCATAAAGGTTTTTCTTTAAGTATATTTATGGGATAGAGCATCAATTCATTTCAAATTTACTATCCACTTGCACTAATACTAGTCGTTTTCGTATCCAATACCAAACATTTTCATACGACAATTATGGGATAGTGGTATGGTAGAAAAATGTGTTAATTAAATTTATCTTTTGTGAGAACTCACTATACTTTTGTATTGTTTTTCTTTTACCTTCTCACTTCTTTTTAAATCTTTTTTGTCCTTTTTCTTTTTATTTCTCGTGAATTAAAAAAAAGAAAAGAAAGGAAAAAGGTAGAGTTTTGAACACCTTGGTACAAGTTTCAGGATCAAAGTTTGGGCTGGATCCTGAAATCTTGATTGGGATTGTAAATAGTTTTTACTAACTTTGGGCTAATTCATCAATAAAGTTTGTTGAACATGTACCAATTTGGCCCATTGAGGCTAATTTATTGACAATTTTTAATGAAAACCAACACGTTGCACCCATTTAGCCATTAGAGAACTAAAATCACATGTGCCAAAATTTCCTTGGTATCTTCAAGTTATCCTTAAAATTAAATACATATGAAAAATTCAAGATGGTTCAAGCTGTTAGGCTACTCAAAGTACAGTAGTTTTATGTTTCTACCCTACAGAAAATGTACAATTTTTATGTTCCCACTTGGTAGCTAGTGTGGTATTAGGCAAAGAAAAGCAATTTGTGGCCATGATTGACTCCAAATGAATAGGGACTATCAGATTCAGATGTCAATGAAAGATACAAAATCATGGCTCATTTGTATATTAGGAGAGGTAGTTAAATTGGTTGTTAGGGTAGTTGGTGATAATGAAAAGATCAAAGATATGATGCCATTTCAAGCTTTGTTGTTTATTTCCCATGGAGATTGCTTAAAGCTGAAAACTATCCTTTCAAGACATACTGAGTTTCATCAAAATGGATGATTTTGGGAGAAACAAAAAATGGTCCCTACATCCAACTAACTGTTCGACAAAGACAAGGCAGAACCCTTGATGATCGCTTGCATGCCAGCTTTGGAAACACTACTTATTGTCCATGATCATTATTGGTTTTAAATTATAACCATTGGCAGTTGATTCCAGTTCTTCAAGGAGATTTTTAAAAAAGGTAAGGTGGTGAATTTCTAATGCAGCTACTGCATGTGTGGTTGCAGTGACTGGTCATGGAGGCTTGAGCATGCAATAGCCAAAAGTTTAACAGAAAGGGCTTGTCCCTTCAATCATTTTATGGCCCTTGTGAATAGAATGACACCATTTGTCACAACCCAATTTGACCCATTTGGCCATTTCATTGTATCCCTTGATCCCAAATCTTCTCCATGCAATTTTATTTAAGAGCAAAAAGAAAAAAAAATGCCATTACCCTTTCTCAGAAACATGGAAAAGTCAATTTCAATATCCTATATTTGACAGTTTACTTTAAACTGAGATATGATAAAAAGGTGTTGAACATGTTGCTTGATGTCAAAGACTTGCAATGAATATATGATAATAAGGTGTTTTTAAACTGAGAAACTTGTGAATCTATCTTATTCTTTTGTGAACACAAAAAAGAAGCTGAAAATGGGGCAAATTATGTTTTCCATGATAGACTACACAATCCATTTTTAAGCTACATCAGATGTCCACTAGGCTGACAAGCCTGTCGAACCCCACCTGATATGTAGTCAAACTGGCTGTAAAAGCCTTTCGTTTATTCCAAAAGTGTGAAACTTTGCTCCTGAAAATCAGTCCCTCAGGTTGGCTTTTGCAAGCCAACTCCTCAATATTTGTATAATGCGGTCTTTTGCATCATCAATGCACCCGCCTGCATTTCTACTCTTGTTAACCGCTCAAATTTTTTCATAAAGAAAATTTGAGACTTTCAATACCAGGATAAGATTTGTATTTCACAAAATTTCATTGAGTGCATTTGAAATTAACACCAACGAGATTTCAACCCAATTAAATAGGGAAAAAAAAACAAGTTCAGTCAATATATATATATATATATATATTTTATCGAAAAAAATTTAGGAGTAACATTTTTAAAACTAGAGCAAATTGTAACCCACGATGTGATTTATGATATTTTTTAAACTTACGAATCGCTTATCAAACGAAAAAAATTAAAGTTTCAAACTTGAATACTTTACATTTAAATCTTAAACTTTAATCCCTTACACCAACCTATCAACATCTCAGTTAAACATTTTGCCATAGAAAGATTGCTAATTAAATAGCTAAGTTCTTTTTTTTTTTTTGGGGTTCACATCGAGTGGGGTTTTTTTTTCACAAGAGAAGATCACATGGAGAGAAAGGACCAAAGACAAAGATAGATGTGGGGGGCAAAATTTTACTTGTCCTCTTTGCCAAGTCTCGTTTAGCCCACATGTTACCCTTCTTCTTGCCCACATGCATTCTCAAGTCTCTCAGCTCAGCTGCTACAAAGCAAAAGCAAGTATCCTAAATTCCCAACTCCTAATCCAATAGCTTTACGGCCTTTCCTTCTTCCTTCATCTCTTTCTCATACATATTTGAATGTGAAAAACGCCCTTTCCAAGCTATATCTTCTAATCAAAACAATATATATATATATATATATAAACAGATCGTAATTCGAAAAAAAAAATTATCGATGTTAAATTTAAATTTTAAATCTATTAAATGATAGTTTTTAAAAATAATTATATAAATTGAATTCAATTTTAGCTCATTATGTAAAGCTGGGTGGTTGTGGAATGAGAATTGATGACTCCAAAAGCAAGAAAATTCAAAGCCAGCTAAAGTAGCAAATATGTTTCCGAATAAACCGACCTAAAAATTCATGGTGTTAGTTAACAGTTTGGACCCAGATGACCTAAAACTTTATTATTTTCCCACTCAATACAAAGTGGCAACTCACCCCTTGCATCAATCTTATTAATTAGTTAATAATGTGTACGATTGAGACAAATTTTTCAAATTTTTAGGTAGAATTGCCAGCTTGAAGGTTTTAAAACGTATTTAAACTAAAAATTAATAAAAAAAAAAAAAAACTTGAAATTGAAGATTTTCCTGCACCACATGTTGGATGCAATTGTAATGTAAGGTTAGGATCAAACAGCCTAATTTGCTTGAATTTGATTGGTCTGCCCAATTATTATCATATTCCTTGGTTTTACAGCAGAAAAATAATAATAATAATTAAATTCAGAATTTAGGTGACAAAAGATATAGAAAATCTAATTTTATATATTCTACATTAGTAACATTTGCCAATTTAATTAATTTGATTAATCTAATTTTATATGGCTAATGGAGTGCATGCCAAAGGCTAACACTTGTGGCAATTTTTTCTTGATTAATTTTCAGTTATTAATTAGCCTTTTCTAATTGTTTTATAAGCACAATGTATTCAAGTTAAATCCTCGATTTGCAAAATAATATTTAAAGAAAAGATTTTCAGAGTCAATTATCATATGTTATATTAGTAAAATGCTTGACTATTAATTCTAATGATCATAATTAATAGTTGATAATCTTATACATATTATATGATAAAAAGACACTAATACACAAGAAAAATATAATTACAAAAACTAAACATCAAACAAAAAAAAATGTAATTAACAAAGTTAAAGGTATCTTACATTGGAGATAAGGACAAGGGAAATGGGTTTAAAAGCATATAGTGTAAAATGCTTTAGATTGGTAATGGACAAATAGAAAGATTTCAAAAAACATTAGGGGTAAAGTAAGCCACACCCAACACCTTTTTTTTTTTCTTTTTTTTTTTTTTTTTTTAAGAATAACACTTTTTACAATGATTTGACTTAATTAAGACAAATTAACAAGTTATTTATGACAAATGTTGTAGACATAAGAAAATATTTAAAATATGATATATAACAAATAAAGTATATAGTATAATAGGGTCAACTTTAAACTAATTTCTATATTTGGTTATTAAATCAAAGATTTAATTTAATTGGTTCATATAATTATTTTTAAGAGATAATATATTCAATAAATCATAAGTTTGAATTCCAACATTTTTTTTTCCTATTTTTAGATTATATCTTTTTTTATATTAAAAAAATCAAATGCTCGAACTTTATTTTTCATTATTTCGTTTTATTTTTAAAAATAAATAGTACTAAAATTTGAATTTAAGATCTTTAACTTAAATTTCACTTCCAAACTCCATAATTTAAGCTAGACTTGATATTTTCAATCAAAATGAAATTGAGAGTAACTAGTTTTAGTAAAATTAAATGATAGTATAAATGGTTTTGAATTGAAAGAGATAAAGCATAAAGTTATTTGTTTCTATAATAAGGAATTGGTATTTTCAAATGATATTTAGTTGCCTTTTAAAAATAAAAAAAAAAAGTGCATTTCATAAAAAAAATCCATATTTTGAGTACCCTAATAAACCCTTTTTTGACCAAAAAAAAAAAAGAAAGTCAATAAAGAATTTAATTGCTTTTTCTTCTTTTCTTTTTTTTTTTCTTGTAAATCTTTTCCATACATTTTGACTTTTTGGGAAAAACAAAATGAATCAAGAAAAATAAAATGGTTAGCAATCATATGGGAAGGGGCCGGGGACTAAGCGAGTGAGAAGCACGCTTTAATCAGAAGCGATGATGAACCCAATGTCAGGCCCGATCCCCTGCTGTTGTTCGCATCAAATCCTTATGTGTTAGCAAATTGAGTGAGGTAACTTTCTTACTTATAATTGGTATCATACCAAAACATGCCAAATTAATCTTTAATACATGCAATTTAAACAAACTATTAGTTGAAATTTGGTCATACTTTGACTCTAATTACTTTAATAGATAAGCATACCATCTTTGAAAAATGGAAGTACATTTATCTAAACTTGAATGTTTAAAAAGCAGTATCTTAATCTTCTAGAAACACGAAAATAAAATTATAAACATATGTTTCACTTAAATAATTCATCCGTTTTTCTTAAAAGATTATTTATTGTAAAAATAAAATTCAATTCTCAATATTTATAAATATATTTTTTAAATAAAATTATATTATCAACTTGTAAATTTTTTTTAATCTAATTATTTTTTTCAATGAAATCGTCATTAACTAATAAATTATTAATTCAATGATATAGAAATTTTTCAAAGTTTAATCATAAACTTTGGTGTAAAAAAAAAAATTTATGCCTAACCTAATCTTTTGGCCGAAATTCAACTTTTAAACATACTTTAAAAAAGAAATAATTATAGGTAATTTCATGCGTTCGTAACCTAATAAAGTGCATGAATTGACACAACTCGTAGCTAAACATGCATACGTTGATTAAAGAAAAAGAAAGTTGATGAAAAACGACATGGCGTGGAGAGTGGAAATCAAGTGCGGGCGCGAGTGGCTCAAGATTGCGTGTTTGTGCCCCCCACTTACAATTAAAGTCCGGCGGTTTGTATGGCCCGATGATTACGGGATTAAGTGGGTCCCAATCCACACGTTGGATGCTTTGCTGTCTTATAGTTGGCTTAGATTTAAGCTTTCGTTTCTTTGGGATTTTAGTGGGATTTAGCTTTGATCCATCTCATACCCCGTACAATCTTTTACGGGTCCCATCTTGTCCTCGAATCACAGCTGTTCATCACGCCCTTTTTTTCCATACGGTTACGGATGTCTTTAATTTTGATTAAGCCTCTTTCGCTTTTAACCTTAATGAGTTACTTTGTCCGTCTCTAAATATTTATCATATATTAACTTTTACGAAATTAAAAATTTTTATTTTAATTTTTTTAATATTAAAATTTAAATTTGTTATAAAATAAATTTTTCATGATTTTTAATATTAAAAAGTAAAAAAAATCACAAAAAATAATTTTATATATAAAAAAATAAAATTTAAATATTAAAAAATAAATTATTTTAGGACAATTCAAAAAAATATATATAAATAGAGAAAATGAGACAGAAAGAATATTTTTGTTTTACTTATATCTCAATAATATAAAAAAATTTAAAGTACATATATTTTAAAAAAATTTAATCTATCTTTAATTTTCATCCTTATCTGCTTAATTAATGGAGAAAAATAATATTATATGCTTAAATTTTTTTTTGAGTTCATATTTTTTAAAAATTTAATTGATAAGGATATCATCTGAATTAACACTCAATTGTTACATTTTGAGTATTTGATTCATAAGTTAGTATATAAAACCTGTTATTCAAAAAATTTATATTCAAATAAAAAAAAGTGTGACAAGGTGAATGGTGATTAACAGTAAAACAAATGCTCACAATAAGTTTAGAAAAATATACTGTAACTTTCTTCTTTTACATAAGTTGGTAGAAACAGTTTGGTGGTTTCACACAAAAGCAATATTATTAATGATGATTTGTTTGAATTTTCTGAATAATGATCCTTTTGGCTCCCATAGACACTGCTATATAAGTACCCTTCCTCCATCTCCTTTAAGTCTCAACCAGAACCTCCCTTTCTCTTTTACGCTTTATTGGAAAAAAGAGTTGAATTTTAGAGTTTTAAGTCATAGTCTTGAAGTAGTTGGAGAAGGAAAAAAAGATGGCTGTGGTGATTGGAGTATGCATTTTGCTCTTTATCTCCTCAATGTGGATGGGTGAAGCAAGGATTCCAGGAGTTTACTCTGGTGGTTCATGGCAAAATGCCCATGCTACCTTCTATGGAGGTGCTGATGCTTCTGGCACCATGGGTATGTACCCCTCTTCAGGCCCTATTTTTACCTCATTTCATCCCCCATTTTCAGAAAATACCTCAAAGACTTCTGCTTTTTCTTCTTAATCTTTTTCTCTTTCACATGCTGACCAGCTACATTGTTTCCTTGGAATTTTCTGACCTGATTACAAGCAAAGACAACATTTTGGGTTCCATGTCTTACAAATTTGCCCAAGTTCTAAAAAGCAGGGCAACTTTCTAGCCTGTATTAATGGGAGACTCTGAAATTTCCCTCATTGTCAAAAATCCAACTCAAAACGCTTAAAACCACCAAAAGTTAAGCAGCAACTCAGCTACATTGCCTTAAATTCCCCACTAATTATCTTATTTTTCTCTAATAATTGTTGCAGGAGGAGCTTGTGGCTATGGAAACTTGTACAGCCAAGGGTATGGAGTTAACACTGCAGCATTGAGCACTGCATTGTTCAACAATGGCTTAAGCTGCGGTGCCTGCTTTGAGATCAAGTGTGCAAGTGATCCAAGGTGGTGCCATTCAGGAAGTCCTTCCATCTTCGTCACAGCAACCAACTTCTGCCCACCTAACTATGCTCTTCCAAACGACAATGGCGGCTGGTGCAACCCTCCACGCCCTCACTTTGACCTTGCCATGCCTATGTTCCTTAAGATTGCAGAGTACCGTGCCGGTATTGTTCCCGTTTCATACCGCCGGTATGTGCTATGTCTCCCTTCATGTTCCCTGCTCTTTCTCTTCTTGTTACACACTACAATATTTTTATATGTCTAACACTATCATATAGAAACAAGAAAACTACATTAGCCAGTAATAATGCTTAAAATGATATAGTTACCTCTTTTTTTGGGTAGGTAACTCTATTTATTTTTCATTTGTTAGGGAATTACTCACTTTATTTTTCCTCATTTACTCACTAACCCAACTGTCCTTCAAAGGGTTAGTTAGTTAGGAGCCCTTTTGTTGTTTTCGAGTCATTTAGCTGATCTTAGCATTGGCCATGAAAATTCACATTTCCCCTCGATTTAGTTAGCTGATTTTAGCAGAGTTAGGAGCCCTTTTATTGCCATGAAAAATCACATTTTCTTTTGTATTCATACTTTCTTGAGATTTTTTTTTTTTTAAATCTAAGATTTCGTGTGCCAAATATCTTTTATAATAATTTTTCCTTCTTTGTTCTTACTCGCTTTGTCTCTAACATTGTAGCTAAGTTACCAAATCAGCCCTTTACTCTCAATGGACGACAGAATTACATTAACACATTGTAATATGAAAAGGTTGGGGTTGTTTTCCAAGTTCCATTCTAGTAGTAGTACTAGTGGAGTAATAGTCAAACATCAAACTCAAGACACGCGACATTACAGTCCCCAATGTCCTAAGACTCTTTATTTTTCAACTTTAGTTATTGTCTTGTTCACCAAATCTGTGTTCCACACCTACAATCAAGGTCCTGATTTCATGCTAACATTGCTTTTTCGTTAAAGAAGGGAAATGGGGTTCATGGTTCTACTGGTTTAATTACGCAGGGTGCCATGCCGGAAGAGTGGAGGGACCAGGTTCACAATCAACGGTTTCCGTTACTTCAACTTGGTTTTGATCACCAACGTGGCTGGTGCAGGGGATATCGTGAAGGTTAGCGTGAAGGGATCAAGGACTGGTTGGATGAGCATGAGCCGAAACTGGGGTCAGAACTGGCAGTCAAACGCTCTTTTGGTTGGTCAATCACTCTCATTCAGGGTCACAGGGAGTGACAGGCGCACTTCCACCTCTTGGAACATCGTTCCCTCCAATTGGCAGTTTGGTCAAACATTCACCGGAAAGAATTTCAGAGTTTGATTTCATGATTTGGATGAAGAACAAATTTGAGAATAAAAATGAAAAAGAAAATATTAACCCCATAAGTTAAAAAGTTAGCAGTTAAAAGGTGTTAACCCCATTTTTACCCTTAATGGCTCCAACTTGATGCTTCTTCTGAACTAAGGGGAAAAGTGAAGAGTTGTATTTTTTATTTTCTTGGTTGGTTCTGTCTTTTGGAGTGGTGGTTTTGTTTTGTTGTGTGAAGTTCTCTTTTGATTTTAATGGTAAGAGAGAAAGAGGGGGAAAAAGTGTAGGGGATGGACTGAGGCGGCTGCACAAAAATGTAGCCCGCAGCCTAAACATGAAATTTTAGGGTTACTAGCTTATTGTATGATTATTATGTTAGATATTTGGAAAGTGTATTGTAGTAACTTTATATAGTTGAATTGAAATATATGTATATTTGGTTTGTTTCTTATGCTTACTACTATCATTTATCAACTATTTTTGTCAAGCTGTGGTAGATTTTGTTTCAATGTTTGAGTTACATAAATCCCTTCACTCAACTTGATGGAAAAAAAAAAAAAAAGAGTTAGTTTCATTGTGTTTGATATTTGCACTTAATTTGGAACGAAATCACCTACTTGGGGATAGTCCGAGGATGCTAGATTTTCAGGGTTTATGGCAATGAAGCTTCCCATTTTGAACCTGTTGAAGCAAATTGCAATAGAACAAATTGTCTTCGAGCAGGAAGCCCTAGGGTTTTACAAAATTTCCTACTTTGAGTGAAAGTGAAAGACTATATATTTGGGGTAGATATGAAGGACTATAGTACTGTTATAAAGCACTGGTATAATTCTCTTTCCAGCTCTTGCCACTTAGTGGGGGAAATTTCCTGTAAGTTTCTTAAAGCAAGCACCTCTTTCTTTTCACAATTGGGATTTTATTCACACAACAATGTTTTAACAGGAGAGAAGCGCCTACAATGGCTTAAATCATCAGCATTAAAGCAAAACATGGCAATGTCACTTCACATTGCATCAACATCTACAAAAAGTTACGTGTTTTATCTCAAGTTTGAAATTTACGTACACGTTCAGACAAACAAGTAGCCTGTTTGCAAAATTCTTTGCAGGGTAGGGTGTCACAATCCTCTTCCCTCCTCTCTTTGTATGGTCCAATAGCCAATTCCAATCTCATTGGAATCTAAAACTATCCGTTAAAGGGAAAACAAATTTCAACCAGGGACTTGTCGCCTAGGAAGCTCTTTACTTTACACACAGTGAAGAAGTTAGAATACTAGGATTTTTTTTGGACTTGCTCAATGCATGAAACCAGAAAAACCCTTTATTTCTTTCAAGTAGAGGAAAGTTACAAGAAAGATTAAACTTTTTTCCCAATAATTCTGTAATCCGTAATTGGGAGTCACATCAGAAGAAGAAGGTCCAATGCATTTGCTTGAACCAAACTTGAGCACATGGGGTGTGGGCCAATTCCCGGTGGGGGTTGGGTTTTTTATTTTGTTAATGCTCTGTACTATGTGGGTTAGGAAGAAGCTGTTCTTTCTCTGTTTTTTTGGTTGATTTTGAGGGAGGAAGATCATTGGATTCCTATTTTACATTAAATAAGGGAAAAGAAAAGTAAACTAGGGCTTTGGATTCCTTTGTGCTAATATTCTTTCTCCTGTTTCAGCTTGGTTTCATGGTTAGGCCCTGGCTAGTGGGCTCCCTGGCTAATAAAATTATTTTCAGAGATTAGGGAGAGAGATTAATCATCCTTCCTCTAATGATTTGTGCTATGATATGGTAACATGGGTATTGAAAAAAATTTTTTAAAAAAAGCTAGAAACTGACTTATTTAGTTTAATAGTAATGGAGATAATTGAATTCAAATCTGTATTTTTCAAAATAAAAAAAAATGAAAAACTAATCATAACCTTTGGCTTTTTCGTTTTTTTTTTTTAAATAACCTTTGGTTTTTTCTATGAATCTCCAGCCTGCTAATTTCAGAGCCCTAAAAGATTTGGCATAGTCACAACATAACCAAATGTTAAGCCCATGTTAATAAATAGAAGCTGTCCACAAGATATATCTCAGAGCCCAATTTCATTTCGATTTGGTAGAAATCTGGGCATGCTGTTCAACAAAAATTTAGTCTGTACATCCAGTCATGTCAGCCTAAATCAAATTATGCTGCAATTGTTTGTTTAAGACTTCCAAAATGTTCCTTCAGTAAATGAAATTATGAGGAAATTTTAGTGTCTCCTTCGCTTATACTGTTTCCACTGCTTCAATAAATGCTGCACTCCCTCTGTCAATGTTGCCTTCCTCCCTTCATTGAAATTCCATAGTTCTGGTACTATGTACCTACCGCTTGGATTGTACTCATTCATCTGTGCCAAGGCCATTGTCACAGCAGTGTATACTTCATCACCAAACTCAGTCTTAACTGCAATCAATTTTTCATCTTCCTCATCAAGTATTTCCTGTAAAATCACAATTTACACGTAAAATTTGGTCAATGGGGTTGTAAAAAGGAAGCAAGTTATTTGCATTAAGACAAAAGTATGCCACAGGAGCAAGACAACTTGGTGTATTGGACGAACTGACCATATTTATGTTTTTATAGCTTGAACAAACATGAGAACAAGACGAGAAGATAAAGATGGGCAAGCAACATTTCTCAGAGGGGAAATTTGGATTATTAGAAAGCATGTGTGCCGACAGAAGATTTGACAAATAAGGACAAATACCTTTGAATTTCCTTCCTTGTCCGTAAGTATTTTAAAAGGATGCCAGCTAGGATCTCGAAGGTAGTCCTGCCACAGTGAACATAGCTCTGCTGATTTCACATCAGCTTCTACAGCTGAGTATTTTCTCTTGGCTGCGGTCTGGAAGGGTTTAATGTCCAGCTCTCCCATTCTCTTGACACCAATATAAGCACGGGTGGAAACATCTTTAAAAGTCTGTGAAACAAGGGAATTAGTCTCTATACATAGACGTTATTCAGATTACAAGCATGATTAAAAAAATAAAGTAACAAATTTTAAGCGCTCGAAATGAAAATGGGGAAAAATGGAAACTAGAAGGCTAGCAGCTACATAACTCTCTGGTAAAATTCATGCACACCATATATATCTGTAAGAAACACTTCTAAAGCTCCTCTCTTCCTCTAAAAGTCCAAGGCAAGTTGATGCATGTAAGTTCTCAATCTAATTGGATGTGCAACTACCATTAATTGAGTATCTTACTCGTTGGCACTGACCAATATCTTATACATACTAAACTGATCCAGCATGACAAAACACAAAAATTGGTATACATCCTAAGAAAAGAAAACGAAAATGTGGGATCTAAAAGATACTTACAATGATTAGCTCCTTTCGGGCATCCTGTAATTCATCATTGCTTTTGCGTTCCTTGATAATAAGAGCTTGATTAAGATCCTCCAAGTCACCCATTTCTTCTTCCTTCTCTTGTAGTTCTCCTTGAATTGCCTCCATCTTTCTCTTCCCTTCCGCGTCTCCATCCCTTTCCATGTGTTGCATTACTTGTAAAGCCCCCCTCAAACCCTGTATCTCCAGCTCCAGTGCTTGTTTAGTATCAAGTTGCTTTTCTAGCTCAATGATTTTTCTGTGAAGTTTCTCCTTTTCTCTCTGACATAGGAAGTAAATAAAAGATGAATGAAAAGCTTCTAGAATTATTACACAGTTAACCACTATTTTAAATAGCACTCAATATGAAGACTGGAAATATACCTTCTGCGCCTCTGCCAGTTTTAACATTCTTTCATCCATCTTCTTTTGTTCAAAGGCTGCCCTCTCATTCTGAGATATCAAAACAATTTTCAAATATTCTGATTAGTGTTATACTGATGCTAACACTCTTAACATATCGATTATACTAATGCACAAGATAAAAGGAACACAAGGCGGAACTTTGGAGTTAATTTTGAAAGCAAAATCTAAAGTTAATCATGTCCTGGCTCTTGGTATTCAAGTCAAAAGTACAATCAACAAAAAGTATACTCAAATATAAAGGAAAATGATAGGTTTGCTAAATCATTTGTTTTGTTTATCCTACTGAAAGTATACATGTAAATTCGTTCACCTTGAACAGATTATGGTTTAGATAAAAGTTCAAATAGAAATTCTAGAAGAAAAAAGAAAAAAACAAGGCAGCGTTACATACCATCATCTTGTCATGCTGAAGATTTTTTGTCGCAGCCTCGTTTTGAGCCTCTCGTTGGAACAATTCCTTCTCGCGCTGCTCTAATTCCCTTTTCTTATCACAAAAATGCTGTGCGATCCTCTCATGCTCTAAGGAAATCTTCTTAAAATGATCATGAGCATTCTGCTGCATCTTTTTAGACTCTACACATCATATACTATAAGCCATTAGCAACTAGCTAGAATAGCATTAATTGAATTTAAAACCATTTTAGAAACTGAGATTGTAGCATACCCTCATTATAAGCTTTGATCATCTCATCTTTCTGCTCCATCAACGTACTAATGGATTGACTCACCTCATTATATTTGTTCTCCATTTCCTTAAGTCGTAGGTTCTTGGTCTCCAAGGTGTTGCTTAAGGTTACTACCAGCTTTGAGGCCATCCTTTGCTCTTCGGCTTCTTTGCTGGAAACAGTCTTCAGGTCTCCATTCCTACGAAGATAGTCACCAATCAGTCCTCTTGAATGGAAGTCATCTTCACGAGCAACCCATGCATACAATTTGCCTCTCTGCCTCCTGGATGAATTGTAATCCTTCTTTCCACAGTGCTCCATTTCAAAGCTCTTCTCAAACATGATGGCATTATTAAAGCCATCCCACTCCTTCTTGAACTCTACGATGGCAAATCCTGAATGACCATATCGGTTCCAAAGAGGCTGAACCCTCAATGGATTAAATCCTTTTTCTGTCAAATCCTCCCGCAATTTCCTTCCACTTTCCCCCACATGCTTTCCATCTTGCACTGTTGTTGGAATATTGGCAATGATGCCCTTCCACGGATGAACAAACATCTGATCATAAAGAAATAACAAAGAGACATCTTTAAGTTTGTAAACTACTAGAAGGTGTATGCAGATATGATGCAGGACAACGACAAAGTCTAATAATTCCTTAAAACCCTTAGCAAGTAAAAACCTTATATTCAAAATTAAAGCATTACATATCCTTAATAAACAGTCCAAAGAAACAGATAATAACAGTGAAAAAATTCCTTAAAAGCCTTAACAGATTTCAAAAGATTACACAATAGAAGAAAGTGAAAAGTTTTATACTAAAAGCAAAGCATGGAACTGTCCAAACCATTTCTACTTTCTAGGCCTCAGTTTCTTAGAAACCAAATACATATATAAGAGAAATTACTAAATATACTAACAGTGAAATTTTTTAACTCTACAAACGAGATAAAATGATAACACATGTTCCTTAATGTATTTAAAAAAATAAAAAAATTAAATTACAAAAATAAGTGAGATATATATCACCGTCTTAATCTTACTTATGAAGTTAAAAAATCTCACTATCAGTATATCAAATAATATCTTTATACATAAATTACAAAAAAGGCACCATATTCAGAAAACAGAAACATATACAAGCAAAGCATCTAGAAAATCGTACACATGAAACATATGAAGCATCTACAAACCTAAATTCAGTTGTCTTCTCATTTCAAACAAGTATATAAAAGAAAAATCAGGTTACATATTAATGTCACAGATCCCTTTCAACTGACCTTTTGGGACTTCTCAAGGAACACAAAAGCAACGAAGCAAACAGAGAATCAACATGAAAACAACCCCTGTTTGGTTACCAGGAAAATTTGGAGAGAAACCAATGAAAATAAAACAAAACAGACAATAAACAGAGAATACCTACACAGCAGCAAAAGCTTGAAACGTTTTTTGTTTTTTTTTTTTCAAAAAAAGAAAAGCACAAAAATTCGGTCATTCTACATTGACATTTTCCATTTTTTTTCCCTCACTTTCTCGTTAAAGCCAAACAGAGCAGATATATATATATAACACGTGTAAAGCAGAACGTCACCTTTCGGCAAAAAAAAAAAGGATCAATATGAATGCCTATGAAGCACAGCACACATACGTAATACCAGTACATGCGATACAAGTAGGACACGACATGATATGACAATAAAAAATATTTTTGATATATTATAAATATTAAACTAATTTTTAAAAAATGTTTTTATTTTATGTCATTATCCACGAAAATTATCTTTCTTTTTATCGTATTTGATAAGCTCCGCACATTTTCCGATGCGTTGCAAGCATCAAAATATCAGACACGTTCAGAAGTGTCCATAGAGAAAACCATATTGTTTGGTTACCAGAAAAATTTGGAGTGAAACAAATGAAAATAAAACATAACAACTAATATGTGCACAGCAGAAATTTCTTGAAACATTTTTTTTTTTTTTTTAAAAGAAAAGCAAAACATTACGGTCATTCTACATCGACATTTTCCTTACTATTTTCCTTCACTCTCTCTTTAAAGCCAAACAGAGCAAACATATATATATATATATATATATATCTACAACATTAACACTTGTAAAGCAGAAGCGTCACCTTTAGTTAAAAAAAAAAAAAAACGAAAACCGAAAAGGCAACAAACGATCAATAGCATTACCTTATAAAGACGAAAACTTGTCTAGGAAACTATGGCGGAAAACTTGAAAGCCGATCACGTCGTTCCACCGTGAAAAAGAAGAAAACTTGAACACTAGGGTTTTTGGAGAAACAAAGTAATAGAAGAGAGAGAGCCCCGCTCAGCAAATCTCTGAAAAAACACTGTACCACATCATCTGCAAACAACGCACTTCTTTTTGTCGATTGGATGTTGGTAACAAACTGGTCGTTTCAATTTTCCTCGGGAAATAAAAATGAAGACGTCTTCGCGAGTGTAAGAGAAAGGGTATACTCGCGATTTAGAGGTAAGATTGGGTTTGATGACGATCGAGGGGGGCGTCAGGTAAGATCAAAGAGTGAGTGGTGGGTTGTCGTTGTTAGAGAGGCGATTGGTTAGTGCAGGGATGATCGGTGGGCTCCATATGAGCACGTGGAACATGATGAATGGATATCCTAAAAGCTGACAATTGGCATGAAAATGGTTCATGCATTCTGATTTTTATTTTTTTGGATAGAGATGGTAGATTTTTGGAGTGTTTGGAAACTGGAATTAAAATAACAAATCAAGAATTAAAAGGATTTTGATCTGAAATATGGTTTGTTGCAGTATTGGCTTAAGAAATGGTGAAGCAACAACCCACATTATTGATAGCAGAAGAAGAGGAGTGATAGAAACATCGTATTAATTTTGGCTTTGGATAAGGTTAATCTGTTGGAGAATTAGGAAAGTTGGGTGTGAAAAAGAATCAGTTTTTGACACACAAAGTCACATATCCAAACCCAGAATAGGCAGAGCAGATAAGGTAGCTTTGGGGAGTTTTTAACTGAAGGTAGTAACAATCCTGAGGCCTTGATTCGTTGCCTGATTGTGTCGGCCCCTCTTAGCTGAAGCAGAGGCTTTGAAAAGAAAATGGAGGATTTTCAGATTGAAACTCATTTTGAAACCCTTTTCAAAGAGGGTTCCAAATTCAAATACCCCTGTTAATCATTTGTTCACATCATTTGATTTACTTGTCCATTGTTCAAAATTCAGAGTCCTAGTTTCATCCGGAGTTTTGTTTTCGATCTCTCTAATACGATAAAATTACAAAGAAAATTAATTATATATTTGAAATAAAATAATTTAATTTTTTTAATTGATGACAATTATTTTTAATTTATGAGATTAAATTTATATATCTTATTATACATTTAAATTTTACATCAATAATTTAAATTATATAAATTTAAAAAAATTTGATCAATAAATAAAATTATTTTATCATAATTCTTATACATATCAAATATAAAATAAAATAACATTATTTAATTTAATTCTATTCATAATATCATCTATTAATATCCTATCATAATTTTATATACCAAATAAACTTTAAATTTTATATCTTAAAAATATTCAGTAAGGGTAATTAAAATATTATTTAAGAAAAATTTTATATTTAATACATTATTTTTGTTAAATTTAATGGTAGATAATACATTTATTACATACTTGTTTTCTTAAATATCATATTAATTAACTTATGTTACTAAACACCAAGTAACATTTTTAAAAGTTAAAAAAAATTTAAAAATCATTTATAACATTAATCATTTTTAAAATAATTAATTGTATATATAAATTGAATTAAATTTTAAATTAATTACATATTTTCTGCAAATAATTATTTTGCTTTTGGAGTTATTTTTCCTTTTCAATCATTTTCAATAAATGTCGAGTTTACTAAAAAGTCAAATTTTGGTGAAATATCCACCAAAATTTTATTAAAAAGAAAATAGAATAAAAGGAATTTTTGTTCTATTATCATCTAAATTTTTTAGCAGGAAAAATTTTAGAGTAATCCAAAATCTAAATGATGCATTGTTTGCCTTGAGGTTATTTTCTTTTATTTAATAAATACTATTGGGGGTTTGTTTGATAAATTATTGAAATTTGAAACTATTAAAAATTTTAATTTTCAATAGTTTTGTTTTTCAATGCATTTGATAATTTATTTTTTAAAATTTTTTTTAATTATTTAATATATTTAATCAACTTTATTTTTTAAAATATGATTTAATTACATTAATCTTTATTATTTTCTTTTAATTATTTATTCTTTCTCTTTTAACTTATACTTAATGAGAATACTTTAAAATTTTTATCTCTTGTTTATAAAAAAAAAAAACCTTAATATATAATTTTTCATTACTTAGTATATCAAATAACTTATATATCATAAATTTACTAGTTAAGTTTTTTTAATTAAAAATTTAATATTTAATATTTTTGTTGAATTTATTTAATTTATCAAATAACCTTTAAATTATAAAAATTGCATTATACTATATTCTTGAAGTATAATTTAGTCTCAATATATCTTTTAAGGAAGGAAATATATGTATTAATAGTAAATCTTACTATTCATATAGTATAAAATATTAAATTTTATATATTTATATAATATTTTATATAAATATTATGTGTCGTAATTTATATTATTTAAAAATATAAAATATATATTTTTATTTTATTAAATTTTAAATCGTATTATTTTTATATTTTTTTTTTATCATAGGTGTTTTACATTATCATATCTGCTTTAGTTCAACTTGGGACCAATACTCAACAAATTTTCAACATACTTTTCTTTATGTTAGACGTAAGAGAAATCAATTTTGGGCAGCCTGAGTGGACCAAATGCCGAAAAAGGCATACTCTTTTTTTTTTTTAGTGGCGAAGGACCCAATCACCCAATTTGACAAATGACTTTAAACGATTACACATTTTTTTGGTTCAGCGGCGTTGCCAGATTTGTGGAAAATTATCAAACCAGTGAACACGTTTTACTTTTTCAATTGGACAAATAATAATAATAATAATAAACAAGGTTTACTTTTTCAACCTAATAATACGAATACTAAATACATAATTAATTGTGATTGTAAATATAAATACGCTTTGACGAGGAGCTTAGAGTTCAAAGATAAGAGAAGAGATTATGGATGTATTTGGTATATATGATTATAATAGGATATTATAAGATTATATTATAAATATAATTAGATTAAATAATATTATTTTATCTTATATTTAATGAATGTATTTGATATATAAAATTATGATATGATAAAATAAAAATAATATTATAAATAATATTAAATTAACTAATGTTATTTTGTTTTGTATTTGATATGTATGAGGATTATGATAGGATAATTTATTTATTTGTTAAATTTTTTCAAAAATTTATACGATTTAAATTATTGAAATAATTTTTAAATGTATAATAAAATATATAAGTTCAATATTATTGATTAAAAATAATCATTTCCACTTTGGAATGATTGAATCATCTATTAGTAAAAAGATGATTAATCATCTTAATAATCTTATTCATTTCTTTAGATATAAATGAAATGCAATATAAGATAATTATCATCATATTTTATTCATCATTTTATGTATTAAACATGAATGATGCTTGCAAATATTATAATATGATCATTTATTTATTGATTAAAATTATATTTATTTAAAATTTAAATAATTTAAATTATTAATATAATTTTTAATGATATAATAAAACATGTAAATTCAATCTCATAAATTAAAAATAATTATTTATACTCAGTGAAGATTGAATCATTTTGTATTAAGAGGATAATTAGTCCTCATTATAATCATATCCATTTCTTTGTATACAAACTAAACATATTATATGATAATTATCATCATATCTTATCTATCATCTTATGCATCAAACATGGCCTATATGTATAAGATTTGAACTCTAAATTTATTAAATTTTATTTGGCTAAAATATTAAAAAATATATTTGATTTTTTATATTTTCTTAAAATAAGTTCATATACTTTTATTATTCTCAAATAAACTCTTATTATTTAATTCATATTCAAATAAACCTTATTTTAAATAAAATATTAATTTATATTAAGAGTTTATTTAGATAAAAATAAAAGGTTAAAAGCATATTTGGATATAACTTAAAAGTTAATGACTTATTTTTGTTTCAAATTAAAATTCACGAACTTACTTACATATGATAAAAGTATAAGATTTATTTAAATAAAATGATAAAGCTCACAGATTTTTTTAATTATTTTATTCGTTTCATTTTTTTAAAATTATTATATAAGTTAATTGGATTAAATTTTAAAATAATTAATTAATTTCAATTACAATGCATTGTGTTGTTAAGCTTATAATTTGTGCATAATCCATTTGATTTGTTACTATTAGTTAATAAACCATGGAAAATAAGGATTTTATATATACATATACATATATATATATATATATATATACACACACACACACACACATTACTTTATCATTTAAGTCTATCATATTTTTTTTCAACATTCAAATTTTTGATATTTATACTAATGTTAAAGTGTTTAAATAAATTGGTGTCACAAGTTCAATTGGATTATGAATATTAAAGTAAATATAAATTAAAATTATAATAATAAAATAAAATAAAATTTTTATATATTTTTATTTTTTAAAAAACAATAATTCAATTAAAAAAATACAGACATTTTAACATATTATTTTTTAAAATACATTTTTACAATAACAAAAACATAAATACAAGTAGAGGTGATAATAATTCAGATTAAATCAGATTCAGTTCAATTTTTTTAAATAATATTTAATATTATAAAATTTTAAAATTTAATCTAAATTTGAAATAATCTTTTTTAAAATCGATTTGATCCGAACTAAATTTTATTAGTTTAATTCGATTTATTAGTTTTTAAAATTTATTTTTTTGTTTTTTACCTATTATTTTAATAAATTTAAATAAATTTAAATAAAAAATAATTATTTTATTTATAAATTTTAAAAAATATATAAAAACTAATAAAAATATATAAATCAATTCATTGTTTTTTTTTTGTTTTTTTATCTAAATTTAATATACCATATTTAATATTTAAATTTAATCCAAACTAAGTGAAAAAACCGATCTAAATCAATCCGGTCGCTAAAATTTCAAATTATTTTTTAATTTTCTCAAAAAATTTCACCCCTAAATACAAGTATACAATAATACAACATACAACATAGAAAAATAAATGACAATAAAAAACGTAATCCATTTCCAAAGCAAATTGTCCCGCCACAAAGTCCAACTGGAACAACAACAAGAAGTCAACGCTATAAAATTCCAACCAAACCTCTTCAACTAACCTGTCTGAATGGGACAACGCGACCTTTTCCCTCCCCTCCTGCTACTCCTCCCCACCATCTGCCATCGCCATGTGATCTCTTCCCTTTCTTTAATTGATCTTTGCCAAAACGACAACGCCCCAAACAAGGAAACCAAACCCAAAATCGAAATCAAAACTTTAACATAAAAAAAAAAACAAATAAAATGTTTTTTTATTAACCAATCCGAGTTCGTTGATCTCCTCATCACCTCTATCTTTTCTCTCCTGTTCCAAACTCTGCAGTTCGTATAGTTATGAAGTGTTTTTATTTTACTAACGGGGAGAAGCGAGGCTGGGGAGAGGACGGTGGCGCCGTTTCGAGGTCGTCGTCGAAGGTGACGTGGACGAGGTCGTTAAGCGTGGCATCAAGCAGCGTCGACATGCGTCGTTCTGAGTTCGACTGTGAGTCGACTAGGGACTTTGCCTCGGAATACTCGGCGGTGAGTTTCCGCGAGTTTCTGACTCAGCGTCGAGCTAACGATCTACGCGTGTTCTCATTCGCGGAGCTGAAATCAGCTACCCGCGGGTTCAGTAGAGCTCTTTTGATTGGTGAAGGAGGGTTCGGGTGCGTTTACAGAGGTGTCCTTAAGGTTCCTGATGAATCTAACGACGGTCGTGATTTAAAGTTGGATGTCGCCATCAAACAGCTCAATCGTCACGGTTTCCAGGCATGGATAGTCCCTTGTTGCCCCCTCTTGCTATTCCTATTTACGTTCTTGTACCTATCTGTTTGAAAAGTTTAACTTTTGCTTTCTGTGTTCAATTTAATTGTAAGTATGTGAAGCTTAATCTTGCTTTTGAACTGCATAATTAGCCTTGACAATTCATGTATGGTGACTGTGTATATTTGGTGTAAATACATATAAAAGACGAAAATTTTCATGTCATAATTTTTGTTTATAATCAAATAAATACACGTTTTATGATTTTTGTCAAAATTTTAAATGGAATAAGTTTCATGTCTTTTTTGATATCGTTTTCCTAGTGTTTAAAATGTTAGCTATACGTATGATAATGTAATAGTTCAAATTAAGGAATGTCAAATCATTACAATTTGTAATAATGTTAGAAAATTTTGTTATTAGTATTAAGTTATGAATCCTTGTGCATTGACATGATAAATTTTAATGACATGATTTGTTTACTGCACAGGCACAATAATAATTTCTTGTTTTGCTAGGTTTCAAATTAGTAAATTTTGTTTTTTTTTTTTTTCCTTTAAACGTTGAACGGATTAAGCATAGTTGTATTTCTTATTAACAGCTCGAGGGATTTGGATGTTTTTGCTTTGCTAGCATTCAGGGGCATAAGGAATGGATCAATGAAGTGAACTTTCTGGGTGTGGTTAAGCACCCAAATCTTGTAAGGTTGGTGGGATACTGTGCGGAGGATGACGAGAGAGGGATTCAGAGACTTCTGGTCTATGAGCTGATGCGTAACAAAAGCTTGGAGGATCATCTGTTGGCTCGGCTGCCATTGCCATTGCCTTGGGTGAAAAGATTGAAAATTGCTCAAGACGCTGCCCGGGGCTTGGCTTACCTGCATGAAGAAATGGATTTTCAGGTATACTATTTTAAAGACAAAAGCAAATGATTTTCATGCATAGATTTTGCTGTACTATCCTCTTGGATTGCCGTGTGAATTCTTTTTATTTTATTTTTTTACTGTCAACTATGTGAATTGTGTGTTTGTCTTCATGATTTTGATTTGCTTTATGATATGTGCAGCTAATATTTCGAGATTTTAAAACATCAAATATTCTACTAGATGATGACTTTAATGCAAAGCTTTCGGACTTTGGATTGGCTAGGCTAGGACCTATTGAAGGATTTGGCCATGTTTCGACAATAGTAAGTTAATCACCTTTGTCTAAGCTATACAAGCATAATGTTCTTTTAAGTTGGATACATAGATTGTAACTGTTGCTAACCAATAAATTTTTTTCCTGTTTACTGTTCCAAAAATGTTTATAAGGTTGTGGGCACAGTAGGTTATACTGCCCCTGAGTATGTGCAAACTGGCAGGCTAACTGCTAAGAGTGATGTTTGGAGCTTTGGGGTGGTTCTATTCGAGCTCATCACAGGAAGGCGAGCACTAGAGAGAAATCTACCTCGAAGCGAGCAGAAGCTCCTGGAATGGGTGAGACCTTATGTATCAGATTCAAAGAAATTTCACCTAATTGTAGATCCTCGCATTGAAGGACAGTATTGCATGAAATCAGCTCAGAAACTAGCATCCCTAGCAAACAAATGTCTGACGAAAAACCCAAAGTCCCGCCCTAAAATGAGCGATGTGGTTGAGACGCTAGGCAACATTATTAGTGAGACTTTATCTCAAAATGAAGCTGTCTCCCAGTCAGTCAGTGAAAATGAAGACGTAAAGGAAGAAAGTGAAGTACAGACCGAGGTCGAGTCTACGAAGCAAGGGCACAATTACCTGAAGAAGGTTTTTGATATCAGAGAATTAATTAACTTAAGAAACAGATCAGTTGGGAAGTTAGATTGGAGAAATTGGACACCTGGGCTGGTGAGAACTTGGTGACAAGCATTTTCAGCTTGTGATTCTGAAAGAAATTTATATGCCTCTTGCCTCCTCAGTCAAACACACAGTATGAAATATGTTTTAGTTCTTGAACATTTGGAGGATAATTTCTTTCCCTCCCCAATTCATTTTTGTTCGAAAGTAGTTGTAAATATAGTTTGGAAGGAAAGCTGCATCTGTGGTTGTGAATCTTTAAATTCTTTTTTTTTTTTTCTTTGCCTATGTTTTGTATTTCTTCCAGTGGCCTTTGATGTGCTATGGATAGCCATCTGTTTGTATCTCTTAGCAACAGAATTTGTAGGTTTTTTTTTTTTTTAATCACAGGAGAAAATTTTGAAATGGTCTACGGAGATACTTATATAAAACCAGTCTATGCAAGAAAGAGCACGTGCTTTGACGGATGAAATCTTCGCGGGACTGCTAGATGTGTTCAAACTTCAAAGTAGCATTAGCTTGAATTGACAAGTCTATGAAGTCCGACAAGTTACCTAAAACAACAAAAGTCTAACCTACAAGCCAATAGAATGCCAATCTAACCATTCCATTCTTGACTAGGCTTTCAGAAACAGCGGCTGGCAGGGTTGTGTCGGCTGCAAAGGTTGTTGTCCTTTTGGTGCCAATCTGAGCAGTCCAGAACCCCAGTAATTTTCCCTGAAGAACAGATGGATGATGATCAAGAAAGACAATGACTTGAATTATCTCCTCCTTACTCCACTATCTTCTGTTAACCTTCTCTGCTTTGATTCTGGGTCCAGTCTCCAGAACGTGGATTCCTTGGAGTAAGCCATCAACTTAGTGCTGCTGACATTTATGAAACAGTTCACGTTGGAAAGAAATTTAAGCCCAAAAAAGTCTTTGAGTTTAAATTGAATTGCTCAAAAGCAGATTCCACCGCACTTTCCGCACAGTGCAGATGGATGAGGTTTACGAATTATTAATTGAATTTAAATATCAATAAAATTTATTCAATATAAATTTTTTAAAATTTTCTTTTTAATAGGATTATTCGAAAAAAAAATAGATCCGATCAAAGCCTGAAAATACCCTTGTTATAAAAAAAAAATCACTTCTCTGTGCTTCTTCATCCCTTCTTTTTTATGTAAAATTAATAACGTATCAGAAGAATCAGAGGCCAACAGGCTCCAGGCAAAACATGCAACCTATGCTAATCAAATTCTCTCGTCATTCTCACAAACAAGACATCAATATTCAGTGCATGTAAAGGATGATTTGACAAATCCATCCGAAAAAAATAATAATACGATTATAAAATTCACCAAGCCTGGCAAGGAAAGCAAGACCTGATTGTTGTTATACAAAAGCGATTACACCCTTTTTCCAAGTTGGCTCTCAAGTGTTGAAAACACTTTTATCTCAAAAACAAATACAGCTTTGCATACTCCCATTGTTATGGGTTTGAACTTGCAATTGTGTGGAGAAGATTGGTTTTTGGTACATTAGATAAAACAAGAACTGTACAGTCAGGCATAAAAAAGTGAATGCCCGAGTTCCGGAAATTGTTGCCGAACCACCTGAATATACTTCAGAATAAAGCAGCTTTTATTGTTGGCCTTGATTCCATTCTCGGGCATAAAGAGGCGACGCTGATGGACGAGGGTATGCAGCAGTGCTCCTTCTACCGCTAGCATCATCTGCACTTCGCCTACGGACACGTGGTGTGCTGCTAGTATTGCTCTGATTACTTCCAGATTCATTGGAATGTTGGACCTGCTCCAATACTGTTACAACCTCATTCATGCTTGGTCTGAATTTGGCTTCGGTGGAGATGCATCGCAATGCAAGGGTCGCAGCCTTATAGGCTCCTTCCATCGAATACTGGCCTTCAAGGCGGTTATCTAGGACACGGAATATTTTACGTTTGTTGGCCAGGTAAGGTTTGGCCCATTCCACCAGATTATGCTCTCCAGACGGCCGATTCTTGTCAACTGCTCTGCGGCCAGATAACATCTCTAGCAGCACAACTCCAAAACTATAAACGTCACTCTTGGAAGTCAGATGACCTACAGTTGGCGAGAAAGTTGACTGATCACAAGAGTGGCAAATTTCATTCACCCAATTACCCAGATATATGAGAAATGAGCAATAAATAAATAAAGCACCACAAAACTCCTGACTCCAAAGGTCTACCAAAGCTGACAAAAGGTGAGTGAGGCACACCAAATCGAGCACTTCAAAATTATGTTAACAAGTACCTGTGGCCAAATACTCTGGAGCAGCATATCCATAGGTCCCCATGACCCTGGTAGAAACATGGCTCTTATCACCTGTTGGCCCATCTTTGGCTAACCCAAAATCAGAAAGCTTTGCATTATAGTTCTGCAATGACATCAGGAAAAAAAAAAGGTTCTCAGAGGAGTCGATAAGGGACAAAGGTTTTCAGAAATTATCAAATGAAACCATATGAGGGGAAGTGCATGGAATGATGGCTTAGCAAGTCACATACTGAATCAAGCAAGACGTTTGAAGTCTTAAAGTCTCGATATATCACTTTTGTTTCAGCACTGTGAAGACAGGCAAGCCCCTTTGCAGCACCAAGAGCAACCTTCAAGCGAAGGCTCCAAGAAAGAGGCTGGAAATAAGAACCTCCTGGTACAGATAATTTAAATGTTACAATTTTAAAAATGCCATTTAAACAAAAATTTGTTCAAGGAAACCAAGAGATAGACAGAAAGAACTTACTCCTGAATAAATGATTCTCCAAGCTGCCACGACGCATGAATTCATACACCAATAGACGGTGTTCATCCTCCAAGCAATATCCAATCAATTTCACAAGATTTGGATGATAAAGCTGTCCTAGATAATTCACCTCTGCCTACAAGATTGAAGAAAGAACATGCATGAATCTCCACACTTCGATACCAAAAAATCATTTTAAAATTTTTTAACCATAAGAAAGGCCAAAATGATAAAAATAAATCAATAGGCTTCCCAGATAAACATCTTATGCAAGTAGGTTGAATCCCATAATACCATTAGGAAATTTCAAAACGTTGGCTGTCAATACAACTATATCTTAAACTTTAAGCTTAAAATTTCCTCCACCAAATAATGTGACAGACAAATGCAAACCAATCGGATGCTCCACATGTAAGAACAATGATGAGGTGAACATGGACTCACCAACCACTCCTTGTGACCTTGATATCCTTCCGGATTAAGTCTTTTCACAGCAATAACTATGCCAGTTCCAGGCTTGGTAGCAGCAAATGAATTTTCATCAATCCACCCCTTAAACACAGAGCCAAAACCACCTTCTCCTAGCACACTATCAGGACGAAAATTCCTGGTGGCCATTTTGAGATCAGCAAAACTGAAACTTTTCAAATTGGTGGACTGTAAGATCTCACCCTCACTCCGAGGTGTCAAAGGCACTGAAATTGATGAGACTTTGCTGCTCGTACTGCTATCTTTCCCATCGCTGCTAACATACTTTGAACTCAGCCCTGTATGCTCGAAGATGTAACTCATGCATTACTTAAGTGACATAATCCATTTTAAATGTAGAATTCCAAGTGTCCAGTCAAACTCAATCTTCTAATATTTCATTCAAACAAAAATGTTAAAAGAACCAAAATTATGTAGCCAGGAAAGATTTTCACTATTGTCCTATGCTCACAAGTTACAAATCACAGTTAGCCGTTTCAAAACTAAAGAATATAGCTCCAAGGCGCACTAACAGCATTTTAACAACAATCCAAAATGGTGAGACTCCCAGGATCCAAAGCACGCCAGACAAAGACATAATATTGCTTTGGTTGTGAAGAAGACTAACAGTGGAGACAGGGTGGGATGGAAAGAAATGAAAATTTAGAAGATTCCCTGTTCAGTTTCAATGGTGACAAAACAAAAAAAAAAATACAAAACAAACCGCTGCACAATGATTAGAAAAGAGATAAAGTCACATAACATCTGTCTGGTTTGTTTACTGAGGAAATAGTGCCAAACAAAGGGGGAAAATTTCAGCCTTCATTCTCATTCTGTGCACACCATAAAGAAATGCAAGAGCAAGTATGGAAACATTGACAAGGCCATCTCATCCAAAGTAATAGAATATTTATCTAGTTACTAGTGATGATTTCTAAATTACAGCTTGAAAGTTCAAACCAGCCAACCAAACCAGAAAACCCACCCCCCTAATAAACCTGGAAAGGAACCCCAAAAAAGGAAAGATAACCAAACAAATTGAAAGGAACCAAAACAAGCCAATCTAAAGTCCAGAGCAACTAAAACAAAATCAACTAAAAATGAGTATGATGCTCATAAAAATGAAAAAAAAGGGGGGGGCTGTTTTAGAAAATCCAACTACCTATGTTACTGGGGCTCTCAGCTTTAATTCTGGCACTTAAGCAGATCCCCATCAAATCAAACCACCCTCTTCAACTCTTTTTCTGTAGATCATAAAACATATACAAAAATGAAACTTTTGTTTATAACAAACTAGAATTCAACAAGGAAAAGAAGCAGATCTACGCTTTAAAAACCAAAACCTTGTCCTTTCTATCAAAGAATGCATCACAAAACGATCACTTTTTATTACAACATTAAACTGTCATAAAAGCACTCCAAAGAAGATGAAAAAATAAGTTAAAGAAAACTAGAAAACAATACCCAATAAGTTAAACCACCCAAAAGGGCTAAAAAATAAAAAGATGTATAAGCCAACCTTTTGCCTCTGAAAACCAACCCAACACAGAATCAGACTAAACCAAGGAAGCAAGGACCTAAAACAAAAAATGGTTTTAAGAAAGAGGAATTGACCAAATCGTAGCAAAAACTTGAATTTTTCTTGGATAGTAGTAAAAGCAACTGGCAGTATTAAGTGAGTAGTGTTGATGGTTGCAAACGAACAAAAAAAATGAGTTTTAGAGGAAGGTGGGCAGAATTGCATTAATGGCTGGCTGGCCCATTTAAGCGTAGTGTTTTGTACTTCTCGCCCTTTGTAGCTGTACCCAGTCAAGTCAGAGAAGATAAGCCTTGCACAGTATCTCATCTTTTTCAGCCGTTGGATTCTTTTATGATGGTGGCTTAGCTTCTCCCCAAAAGCTTTCTTTCACAGCTGGCTTCTTTTATCCCTGTAGCTTTCAACGTATGACAGTATCAAGTACCCAAACAATTGAAAAATTGAAACTTTTTTTTTTCTGAAATTAGAAAAAGAAAAGCTTTTTCAATTGATAATAGTACTTGGACGTACAATTTTACATGGCCTCCATGGGGGTCCTTCGTCTCCTTTGCATTCCATGGCATAGGATAATTCCTGAAACTGAATGCCAACAGTCATTCTAATCAATCCTCTTCAATCAATCATTTCGTTTCTTCATTACTAAAATGATAGTGCTTCTTACTTCAAGGAGTGACTTGACAGCTTCACTTGCCCTGAAAGTTGAAAGCTTTTGACACTTTAATGTGACAAAATTAAGAGAATTGTTTTGCCCCTAGTATTTGCATATTCCTAAGTTTCCAAAACAGACAACATGTTGAGACAAAACTTTCATGTCACGTAGTGTTGTGATTTTTTCAAATAACAGTAGTATTATAAGAAAAAAAAAGTCATTGATGAAACTTTTAAAGGATGTTTCTTTCTAGTTAGATTCCTAACCTTGTATTAAAAATGAGATTTTTCTGCATTATTGTTATTCTTTCCTTAAACAAATCATGTCAAAATTGCCCTCTTTATACTAAATTTCTTTTTTCTTTATATATGATTAATTATTATAAAGAATTCAATGTGTTCTCGTTGTCCAAGTTATCTCTTTGAACATAGACAAGAATCTAGACCCTTGAAAAATTTTAAGGGATCGTTTGGTATTTTTATGAAATTTTATTTTAGTGAAGTTAAAAACATATTGAACAGTCTTCTTCCATTAATCATTTCATTTCTTTATTACTACAAATCATGATACTTATTTCAGGTAGTGACTTAAGAGTTTCACTTGCCCTGAAAGTTCAAATCTTTGGACTATTTAATGTGACCAAAATGAGAGATTTTGTTTTGCCCTGTTGTTTGAATATTCCCAAGTTTACATAACTGACAATATGTTGAGACAAAAACAAATCTTATATGAAGTTTGAGACGTGAAGTTATTTATTAAAAATAAATAAATATAAATTTTAAATTAATAAATTGATAAAATTTAATATAAAAATTAATAAAAAGTAAAAAAAATTATTAAAAAATTTATTTTTAATTTAAATTTAATCAATATTTACTTAACGATAAAAATATATCAATAATTTTATTAAATATATTAAAATTTTTTCAAATATTGCATACTTAATTTATATGATAAAATTTTTAATATATCAGTTTTAATTTTTATTTACTAATTTTTAATAAATAATTTTATGAATTTTATTTATAAAATTTTATTAAATATTTTTCCTAGAGACATAACCTTCGATTCATTTGGAGTTGAGATTTTTTCAAATAACAATAATATTATAAAAAAAAGTCAGTGATGAAACTTTTAAAAGGATGTTTCTTTCTATTTAGCTTCCAAACCTTGTATTAAAAATGAGATTCTGTTGCATTATTGCTGTTCTTTCCTTGAACAAATCATGTCAAAATTTCCCTCTTTATTATACTAAAAATTTGTTTCTTTTCCATTATACATGATTAATTATTGTAATGAATTCAACGTGTTCTTGTTGTTTAACTTATCTCTTCGAGCATCGACAAGAATCTAGAACCTGGAAGAAAGCTAAAAATTTCATACTTTAATATTTTTCTTACAAGCCAAAAAAGAAATATTGATATGACATTGATGTTATTATTTTCGTGTGTTTCATTTTTTCCGGGATTTTGCAAATCTTGGAAACCAAACAAGCCCGTGACACGTACCTAACCTCTTTTTACTTTCTTTCAATTTTGTCCAATTTGTACCCCGAATGTCGCATGATCTTCTGGATTGCTTGCGTTAACACCCACATTGAAGCAGATCACAACCGTCTGATTTAAAGACTTTTTTGTCAGAAAAATCGTTCGATCCCTTTTGGTTATGAACCCAACAAATCTTAGCTGTGCATTACCCAGACTATTTTGACCTTTCGATCTAATGTGGGACCCTTTCAAGCATGGGTTCCCATGTGCTCGACGGTGCCCCCTGCTTAACAAGGCTCGGCTTCGAAGGGGCTTTACTCTTCAGCTGCTGAGCCGTGAGCCATGTTGGTGGGGGAATCGTGCCATCAAGGCTTTATTCCGTTCATGGACAGCTTCGAGAAACTCGTGTTTAGGAATTAAAAATTAAAAAACCTTTTTTTATAAATATTTTATGATTTTATTTTTGTATAATAAAAGTCGTAACTTGGATTACGGTTAAGAATTATAAATGTTAAAATTTAAATTTTAAAATTATTAGATATTAATTTTTATAAATAATTATATAAATTAAATCAGTTAAATTAAAAATTAAAATTTTTATTATTAAGTTACAACCTTGAAAAAGAAAAAAGAAACAATTTTGTCGCCTATCGAACGAGATCAACAGGTTGGCGTGGCGTGACATACGTCTTCACGACGTATTAGTGACGATACAACAGTATTTTATGTGATTTTTTTTAAATATATAAAAAAAAATGAAAGTAAAGCACCAGCAAAGATATTATTAATAGCTGGTGCGGCGCCACGTGAGTCATCAAAAGATAATAAATAACGTTATTAAGTAATTAATTAAGAATAATGAATCAAATAATAATAAAAATAAAATTTACATACTTAGTTTCTTCCGATAAGATTTGGCAACTATACCTATATATATTTAAAAAAATACTATTCGAGTGAGATCAAATTAAATTTAATTTGTTAAATAATATATAAAAATTAATTTGAATTAAATTTTTATATAATTTGATTTAAATTGAATTGATTTGGTTTGATTCATTATTTTTTTAATTTAAATTTAAATTTTTAATATATTATTTAATATAATTTATATAAATTTAGGTATAAAATAATTATTTTTATTTTATAAAAATTTTAAATATATAAAAACATATAATTACTTTTAGTTCTATTTTTTTAATTTTTAATTTTATTTAAATTTAATATATATATTTAATATTTGAATTTAATCCAAACTGAATAAAAATTTATATTCAAATCAAACATTATAATTTCAAATTAATTCTTATTTTTTTCAATTTTTTCTCAACATAATTATATTATATTTTTATTTATGTAAATATATCAACAGTCAAACTGATAAAATTAACATTTAATGTCAGATATACCTATTCATTGTGACTTTAAAAATTTAAGTGCTAATAAACTACTTCGAAAGCTAAAATTACAAATACCTCATAATTTTGGAATTACAAATGTAATTTACTCAAAATAGAATAAATTAATTTACCCACAAAGAGTTGGAAGAATTTAAGGCCAAAAGGCTGATTTCATTGACAAAGCATCCCGACCAATTATTTGCAATAGTGGAAAAAGTGTCATCTTTCTTTTTTATTTTCGATGAAGACTTCATCACTTACTTAAACTCTTTCTATCTACCAATAACAAAATATTAATAATAATAATAATTATTATTATTATGTCAAAATCAAAGGAATTTTAGAGCAATTGACAATGGGTGCTATATTTTGTGCAATCTTAAATGGAGAGAATCTTTTTTTTTTTTAATTGACAGTACGGAATGGAAGTACTTGTTTGTTTTATTGCTTTAATTTTGTCAAGGGATGAGGTATTTCGTTAAGTCAACGAAATGATGCAGCAAGTTCATTATTATTGGCGGGTGATGGCAATAATTTCTTTGATTTCATATTTTCCACTATTTTCGTGGTTTCCAAATGTCAAAAGCAAACACCCCAAAAAGTATGAAAGGAGAGCACAATGACGAAGTCAGACAAAAGAAAGTAAATAGTGGAAAAAGAGTCGGTTTATCTGCCTTGTTTTATTCTATTATTATTACATATCACTATATATATAAAAAAAAAGTATAGAACGATTAGGTTATACCCACATATATTATTTATTATTTGATTATTATATGTGATATGTAACGAATTATTATTTTTTTAATAATAAAATTATATAATGTGATTTAAATAATAAAAATATATTTAACATAACGTAATTATTTTGCACATTTTTTTTCGTTTTTATTTATTGGCAAAGTGCGGAAAGCAATAAATGGAATTAACCTTATATTCACTTACCAACAAAATGGGCGTAGATTGATGGATTGGGAAGCAACCATGGCAGCGAAAAGTGAAGATTCAATCACAAAATGCTCTGTCGTATCGAAACATAAAAAAGTTCAATCATAAATCTCACCCTCCGTTATCCGTTCCGATGAAATTGTTTCAATTGGGCCCCCAAATAGAGCGAAGTCGCCCAGATGCCTTGGCTCGATCGAAGTACCGCACAAGGGTAGTTTTGTTCACATCTCTTACAGCCCGAGTAAAAACTGAGCTATGAATCTGATGATTGCATGGGCTGAGAATTTTCCACGAATCCTTGATGGTTTTATACGAGGCCAATACTGTCGAGTTTTGATGTATTATACAAGCTTTAACTCAGTTACAGATAGCCCACTTTAATGATAGATTTAAAAGCCCATTTCCAATCGGCCTAGGGGATTTGCGATTCACGTTAAAGGACACGATACGACGGAGTCGCATTGCTTGCTATTCTCAGTTCTAAAAAACATCAACCATTATTCACATTGGATCAGACAATCTGAAATATGACACGTGACTTAAAATTTTAATAAAAATCATAAATAATTTTAATAAAATTTAAAATATATATTTTTGATTTTCATATTGATATAAATTGTGATAATTTTGGTGTAAAATATAATATGAATATAGTATTTTACATTATACATTATAGGATGCTCGAATTGCCAGATTTACCACATCCCATGACGGTCAGGGTGGAGCCAAAATGTAAAGATAAATCCTTTGAAAGTCCACAATGAGGATCTGTGCCTCAAATCCACAAAACCAAAGTTAAATTTGGCTTATTGCACTGATAAAATTCAGATATCAGATTCTAAGGAAAGGCCAAAACTACAAGTTAAAGTTTCAAAGAAGGCTGTTCCGACTCATGGCTGTGAACTTCAATTCTTTTTCACGGTAGCAGACTTGATGATATCAACGAACTCAGGCTGACGGAGTACAAGTTTTAAAAAAAAGAAAAAAAACAAGTGGAAGTTAATCATAGCAACAGACACAACAAAGACAAGGCATCAAATAAATGAATCAACAGTGCCACAAGGAAAAAACACAAGGAAATCACTAACCTTTAGAGATGCCCCACCAACCAAAAAGCCATCCACATCTGGTTGTGCAGCCAATTCCTTGCAGTTTGCTCCATTTACAGAACCTACATTTAGTTTGCAATGGATGCAAATCAGATTCAATCTGGTTTCGGGGCTTGTGTTTAGCAAAACCAAAGAATTGAAATACCAAACTGAAAATTTATGGAGAGTCAAGCGAAGTTTTTTATTTTTTTGAATGGACTTCTGAAATAGAAGAATCCAATATGAATACTTAAAATAATATTTACTTCAGTTAGAATGGATGCATCAAGATTCTAGACTTTTGGGGCAGCCACAAACAACCATATACCACATTTACATGCTGACAAAGATTATGCCAAATTTTCTTAAAAGCACTTGAATAAGATAGATAGTGAAGGCAATAAAGAAAAATACCTCCATATATAATTCTGGTTGATGTAGCAATTTCAGCACCAACATTTTCATGAAGCCATTTCCTCAATTCACAATGAACCTGGAACATACAATCACTCATTCGTAAGTAACAAAAAAAAACAAAAAACAGGATATGATTTTCCTAGAAACAAGTTAAAATGCAACGGCTTAGACACAACACAATCTTAGAGACATGATTTTGAAATTCACAATGATAGATTGCCCTAAAACGGTTATATAATAGCACTCAGCATTCATGGGAGGAGAAAACTATTAAAACACGATAAGTGCAAAAGTGAGGACTCCTTTCAAATGATATATGCATAAAACTCAAAACTTACTTCCTGAGCCTGAGCAGGGGTTGCAACCTTCCCTGTACCAATGGCCCAAACAGGTTCATAAGCCAAAACAACATTACCCCAACTTGTTACTTTATCTGTAAAAAAGCAATATCAGTTAGTAAAAAGATATATCAAAAAAGACGAAAATGCAAAACTCTAATCCAATGTGGTTAAATAAATACCAATAGAGACCACAAGTAAACAATCATAAAATTTAACCAGGGTAACTATAGACTTATGGTAACATACATCTGAAAAACAAATTATTGCTTTGGTTTTTATATTTTAAAAGCGAGTACCAGCGATTGCTTTGGTTTGAGCTGCAACAACAGCCATGGTAGAGCCTGATTCTCGCTGTTCAAGAGTCTCGCCAATGCAAGCAATCACTTTCAAGCCTTGAGAAAGTGCATACATTACTTTGTCTCCAACAAACTGCAGAGACAAGCATTCAGAATAGACAAATGGACATGAAGTAACAGTAATAATGATAAGAACTATTTGATTCATTCAGGAAACAACAAAAACAGTCCCTGAAATTCATTAGGTACATTACGAAATAACAGGAACCTACTCATATTGCTTACCTCATTGGACTCATTCAAAAGAGCCCTTCTCTCAGAATGACCAATAATAACCCATGGAATGCCCAGATTAACAAGCATCCCGGCACTGTTCAAGTAGAAAAGGAAGTTAACTGCCAATATGCAGACAATGTCCCTAACAACAAAGATCCAACTCGAGAGCTGTGAAAAGAAAGCAGATGATAACAGATAAAATCATACCTAATTTCTCCAGTAAAAGCACCACCTTTGCGAACCCAACAGTTCTGGGCAGCAACATGGAAATCGGACCGCAGCAGACTTTTCACAAGTGTAAGAAACACAAATGGAGGGCTCACAACAACCTCTGCCACAACATAAATTTGAACATGCTAAATCTTCAAAGTAAGTTAAAAGATTGAGCAATTATCAAATGAAGTAAATTTTGGACAAAAGGAACTAACCCACAGCATCCTCAGAAGGAACTTCAGCTTCATTCAACGTGGTAACAATCTTCTTAACCTCCTCAGTTGTCCCATTCTGAAACAAGATTAAACCTCAGAATCATTACTTTTTTTTAGTAAATATAATTTATTTATATGTTGTAATCAGAACAGAGTTACTGATACAATTTAAACCATGAGATCTCAAAGCCATGGATTTAAAAAGCGTCTGCAATGCACTATAGCGGCCACTATTTAGTGGTGGTGTCCTCGGCCACTGTTATTCACGCAATAGAGATGTGAATCGTCATTCACACAAATAGTAGTGTGTATCGCATCCGCAAATAATGTATAACGAAAAATTACAACCATAACGAGACACTGAGATTAAAATATCATAAATAAATATTATTATGATCAAACTATTCTTGTGCTTATTTTGTGGTAAATTGTGAAAATTTAAAAAAAAATTCACGACCACGATAAGAGTGACTACACCTATCTTATCCATTATGTCTGCATCTGCGATAAACATGACGCGACTGAAAATGCAGCTGCGACCACATTTTAAATCCCTGCTCAAAGCTTAGGAGCTATTTGAGTTTCCGATCAGCTAAAGTTTTGTACAAAATAAAATGAGATCTAACAGCGTTTTCAAGATCGAATATTAATTAAAAAAAAAATAAATCAATGCATGTTGAGGAGAGTATGAGATCAATCAAAAACATAGACCGATTGATTTTGACTGAAAAGGAAATTAAATTATCGAAAGGAAAAAAAAAAAAAGAGACGGAGAGAGAGAGGAAGAAACTTACGCATTTCCAGTTGCCGCCGACGAAGAATTTGCGAGCCATGAGATTGTGTTTGGTGTTTTGGGGTCGATGAAAGCGAGAATTAGGTGAGAAACAAGAAATGCAAAAACAAAAAAGCTCACTGTAGCAAGACGACCGGACGCAATAACTGTAGGCTGTCGCACAGGCCTTTATAGTGCGATTATGTGAGTGGAGCATAAGTTTTTATATAATTACCAAAACGCCATTTTCTTTTTCATTTTTTTAAAAAATATTTTTATTTTTTTAAAAAATATTTGATAAACAAAAAAAAATTTCTTTTTAAAAAATAAATAAAATATTCGATAATAATTTTATTAATGACATCTAATTATAAATATAATATATATTTATTAATTAATGTATTAAAAATATTCAAATATGATAACTTAAAAAATATAAAAAATATATATCTTTTATTTTCATAATTGAAAATATTATATATATTTTTAATATATTTTTTTATTTTTTTAAAATTTATTTTTATTTTTATTTATCAAATACATTTTCACTCATATTTTTTAATTTTCAAAAATATAAAAACAAAAAATAACTCTATTTTCTAAAACCAAACACTATTTTAAATTCCGATTTTCATTTTCAATACATTTTTTATTTGCATTATAGTAGAATTTTTAATTGTTTATAATAATCTTACAACTTGACATTGTTGATTTTGTCGTCAATCCTTCGTTATTGTCATCTTTTTATCTTTTTCCTTCAATCTTTTATGCACACAAAATGGATATATATATATTTGTCAAGATGACCGTAAACTTGGCCAGAATCTTAATTCATAACGCAACTTCCAGTGAGATTTACAAGCTTTTAGCAATTAAAGTGTAAGCAGAATCCATGAAAGTAGAAATATGGAACAAAAAACAACAAATACAAAGAAAATTTACAGTGGTTTTGCATAAACTTCAAAGATCACAATCAACTGGTATATAAGCTAAAGGGGCATAGCCATAGGGTATATGAGATTGGAAAATCTCTCTCCCTCCGTAAGCTTTTGTTGTTTTTGCTTTTGAAAGTCACCCACAAGATCCCTTTGGTGCCTGTGAGACCATGATAGTAAATTAATCAGCATAAATAAACAATAAAAAAGATGAAAATAATTCAAAAGTTTGGTTCCATTACTTTGATTTGCATCATTCTGTCAAGTAGCCATGCTCAAAATTTGCTGTTAGCCTTGTATCTGCAATATGGAGAGCAAGGGCTATATGATCGAGCATCAATCTAGAGGATCCTTTTAAGAAAACTGAAGTGAATGAACAGTTAATAGGCAAAGTGATCGAAGCTTACGAAGAAATGAAGCAAATACTTCAGACTGCTTGGATATCTCAGATCTCCAACTTCATATATGGTAGCATTGGGGTATCGTTTAGGTGATTGGACAAACCTCATTTTATTTATGGTCTCCTCTATTCCCTATTTCGTTCTAAATGTAACATCCATAAGTCTTTGATATCCTCCTTCACACAATGAAAGCTTCGGGTTATCACGTCTCCTCAATTTTGATTTCCTTCATATAGCATCACATTCAGAAGTAAGTGCTTGGAAGCTTCAACTACGTATTGTGTTTTGCTTTAGAGATTAGATTATATATAGAGACTGTTGGTTTAAAACCAGACTCAATCATCTCATTCACTAAAGCCTCTGCCTCTTGCCACTTACAATCCTTGCAAAGAAGTCCGATAGTAGAGCTGTAGCTAGCTACATTAGGAACCAACCCTTTCTCGCCCATTTCTTGAAGCAGCCTCAGGGCTCTATATGAGCTACCCTCTTTGCAATACCCGTGAATCATTGTGTTGTATATCACATCATTTGGCTTCAATTGCATTTCTTCCATTGATTTAAACAGTTTCCATGCATCCTTCATATTACCCTTTGTGCACAATCCATGAACTAAGACACCATAAGTGTAAACATCCGGAACCAAACCAGCCTTCTGCATAAACAAATATAACTCAAATGCCTTATCTATATTTTCTGATCTAATGAATGCATCAATTATAGTTGTATATGTCACTTTAGAAGGCCTTATGCCTCTCTCCTCCATTTCTTTTACCAATCCAGCAACTACTGCTAAGTCTCTAGCTCTAGAAAAGCCCGAAATAAGAATGTTATAAGTTATCAAAGATGGAGATAGACCCTTAGTTTTCAATTGATCAAATATATACTTAGCCCTCTCCAACTTTCCAACATTACAAAAACCATCTAATAGCGAGTTATATGTAATCAAATTTGGACTTATACCAGTCCTCTTCATTTGATCCAACAATTTCTCCGCCTCCCAAATCCTTGTCTTTCTACACAAGCCTCCAATCAATATATTGTATGTAACCACATTACATGCTACTCCTCTTTCACGCATTTCATCAAACATCTCGAAAGCTTTGCTTACTTTTCCCTCATTGCAGAATTCATTCATCAAAGAATTGTAAGTATATAAACTAGGAATCACCCCATTAAGCTGCATCTTCTCATATAGCTCAAAGCCTTCTTTTTTCAGTCCCTTTTTAAACAATCCATTGATTAAAACTGTGTATGTATACTCGTTAGGAACCAACCCAAGCTCCTCCATTTTGCAAAAGAACGTTTTTGCCTGCTCAAAGTCACCCATTTTACAACACCCATCAATCAAAGTAGTGTATATAACAACATTGGGAGACAAACCCAACTCTTCTACCTGACCTAAAAGCTCAAAACTTTTGCTTAAATAACCTGCCTTGCAACATCCTTTGATCATTATCCCAAAACTATAAACATCAAACTTAACCCTCCCTTTGGACTTTGTAAAAAGGATCCAAGCTTTCTCAAAAGAATCAAACTTTATAAGAAAACTCATTATATTATTCAGAGTATTGGGTCCAGCAACAAGGTTTCTGTCTACCATTTGATTGAAATAATATATGGCTTGATCAGGCAACTGAGATCGAACATGGGCGTTGATAATTGATTCATATAGAGGGATTTGGTTCATTGAGTTGGGATTCAAAGTGGGTTGAGTTAAATGTTGGAACAGAGACAAAGGAGTGAAGAAAGGAGAGGAGAGTCTACCAGAGATAATCTGGAGGAGAATGGACTGAGAATGAAGGAGCATGTTGGAAGATAGAAGAATGTCTAGAGTGAAGGCTATGGATTCGGGGGTGTGTTGAAGTCCTTCGAGAATTGAAGAGTTGAAGAGTAAGAGAGCTTTAAGAGGTGGCTTCTTCACCATTTTTGGAATGAGAGACAAAGTTTGGGGAGTTTGGAACATTGTTCAGTTGTTGGTTTACTTCCCTTGGTTTTTTGCCTTCTGCTAGGCTTTTATACTTGCTGCTGCTTGCGGAGCGAACTGTCCTGAAAACAAAGTCTAATAGGCCTGGCCAGGGCCAGGAGCGACATTTGTGGTGGCTCACGTTTAGTTAATCAAGGCAGATACGACTATACGTGTTATATAAAATATTAAAATTTATATAATATTTTATACAAAAATTATATATTATAATTTATATTAACATAAAAATATAAAATATATATTTTTGATTTTATTAAATTTATATATAATTATTGTTAAATTTTTAAATTATATTATTTTTATATTTTATTTTTATATCATATTTACGTTGCATCATTATATCCTATTTTAAATTACTAAATCGAGGCTGATTCATCCAAAGCCGAAGTAGGCTTTCAGTTATCATCAACCCTCGAACTTGAAGGGCGGCTTCCAAGTTTTCTAATAGGCATGCCCTCTAACAAAGATCCTTTTTCACTGTCGCTAAATTGTTGGCTGAAAATCAAATGCCTATGAAGGTTTCAAAAACTTTACTTGGCTCACAGCATTTGATTTCACAGTGATCAACTTGTTTTCCGCAGTTAGATTTCTAAAATCATAACTAAAACAAAAGGAGATGCAAATTTTACTTGTAATGATAACTGCATTGCTGAAACAAGAAGCACAAATTCATTAGAAACCAAATAAACAAAAGGCTCTGCATTTCGTTTTCTATAAATTGAAACAACAAAGCTATTTTGAAAGGAACGTCTAGCTACAGGGTACATATGAACGGTGGAAAGAGAACAGAAAATGAATGCCTATAACCTATAACAAGAAAGGTCCTGACTCTTGTTGAGCCCGGCTGTTGTGTGAAATTAGTCCAATCAAAGATCATAAGACATGAGTGATTAAAGCTCAAACAAAAACAAGAAGAAAGACCTATTGCTGGTCAGTATGAAGCCATGCGTCTAATAATGCAGTGAATCTAATCAGATGTAAAATGTCTTCAAAACATTGCTTGACTGCTTTAACTTGCTGTTAGGGATGCAAATGCAGCAACCCAATCTTGTCTAGTAGATTCAGGCACTTCGTTATCCTCAAGGAAGGGAGTCCAGGAGTCTGCAGAGGCATTGGTCAACAACCAATCAACTTTCTCCGGGACATTAACGAAATCAAAGTTCAAAGGCTTCGGTTTTTTATCAGACTTCTTCTGTTTGTTGCCAGCAGAGATCCCACTAGACTGCAAAACACAATTCAAGCATTCACTAAAAGCCAGGGAGAAAGAAGCAAACAATTGGATAAAAATTCGGCATATTTGACCAACAAGCCTTTTATTTCTGACTTACAACTTCTTCACTGCCGAGAGTCTCTGTTCCTTTCTTCCTTTTATACGGGGTGATTCCAGTTTCTAAAAAGTACAGCACTTCTTTCTTTGATCTGAATTTTTGGCCGGAGGATGGATCAACATAATACTGCAGCAGAAATGTTATCATGTATGTTTATATTACCACTGCATTGCCAATTATCCCCTTAAATGAAAACAACAAGAGGCTCATACATCCTACATGTACAAGAAACATATTACAGATACAACAAAATAAACTGATCTCAGACCGAAACACACTATAAATGAAATAAAAATTTCCATAGTTTTCTATACCTCTATTAAGCAAACTAGTCCCCCAATTATGCAACATTCTCCCAAGTCAAATCCATTTTAATGAACCCAACTTCAACTGTTACATTCATTCACCAGATTTTTACAATGCATCTTGTTTCAGTGATGGAACAAAGACAAAAGCTCTTATATGAGTGTTTCTTTCAAAAGGAATGCTTCCACACCCCCATTTCTAAGAGTTAAAAAGATCAATAACCATAAGATTGTAACTCTGACACAGAACCTGATATCAAATAATCTTGGAAACCCAAAGACAAAATTTCAATAACTAAGATTAAACTTAACAAGGAAAGAGTCATGTTGGAATGAGATTAACCTTATCAATTATTCCAGCTGTGGCACCGGAGCTCCGAACCCTGTCTTCGATCAACCATCCAGCTGGCAACCAAGTCTCCGGTGCCACCACGCGCCGCTTCACCTTTGGCTTTGCCGAAGACGACGAGTTGTCCGGGCCTTGTGGCGGTGTATGGGGTCGGGCGCCATTTGGAATCGAACCATTGGGAGGTTTTGAGGAATCTAACGATTGGTTTTGGCCGTTAACGTTAATGCAAACTTCGGGTTTGAGGACCGGATCGGATGGAATATCGACTGTGGAGGGTTGAACCGGGTTTGACATTGCAATGAAGAAAGAGCTGGAAGAACTGTTTGACTTTTCGCAAAGAACGGAATCTTTGTGAGAATATTATCATTTTCTGCTGTGATATGATCCTATTACCTCACGAATATAAAATATAAAAAATTATGTAATTTAAAATTTTGATATATAATGTTTTTATATAAAATATAATATAAATATGTAAATTTTAATATTTTATATTATGTGAATATATAAATTTTAATATTTTACATTCCGTAAAATTTTTTTTTAATTTTTTATAAAGAATAACGATAAAAGAAAATTCAATTTTTGAGATAATTTTATGAGATTATTATCATTATCTGTTATAGCACGATATTAATATATTATGAATATAAAATATTAAAATAATAATTTAAAATTTGATAGTAACTTTTATATAAAGTATAAAATAAATATATAAATTTTAATATTTTACATTATATAAGAAAGACTTTGACATTTTACAAAGAATCAAAATAAAAAAAAATTCAATTTTTGAAATAATTTCGTGAGAGCATTATCATTATTTATTGTGACACGACATTAAACGTTACGTTACGAATATAAAATATGAAAATAATATAATTTAAAATTTTAATATATAATTTGTATAAAAAATATAATATAAATATATAATTTTTAATATTTTATATTTAACGATTATAAAAATTTTAATATTTTATATTTCATATACAATCCTTTTGAACGGGATTTCCCACGATTGTCATTTTTGCCAGGATGCTGAAGGACATGTTTGTGCCAGAAGTTGTTTATGTCTTGGAAGAGAGGATTATTCGGGTTATTTGTTATCGTATGTAAGATTGCAAACATAGGGAGCAAATGCAGAGAATTTTAAGACAGTTAAAAATCATGTCAAGGTGAATGGACCATCTGTGCATATGGTAACAAATATCTATTTGATCATATTCAATTTTTTAAGAGGAAATTAACAATGACAACTTTTTTCATGACAGCAATCGTCAACCCCCCCAACAATATCTTGCCTTTCATCTGAGAATGGAGAACCCGATTGATGCAAAATAATAAAAAGAAAATGCTACATAATAAGCAAAAACATTTGAGTCCCTCTCATGCTTGTTTATTAGCTTTAGTCTTGTGTTGCAGCCTGTGAGTTAAGCTCTGCAAACCTCAGGCCTACACGCATTGAATGCTTCAAGAACTTCTCAGCACATCGCGTAACACAGGTTTCCTCCTGCTTCTGCAGAGTCTTGCGAGTAAAGTTGTCTACACAGTCAGTGAAGCATCTCTCAACAAGTGAATTGTACATTCTCAGGCTGGACATCGATTAAAGGAAATAATGAGATCAATTGAGACATCTCTCCCTAGAAGTAAGGTAATTGTAGAAGCAAAAGTACCAATTAACCAGATAAATGTCTCTTTTCGTTGGCTAAGGGGAATTGGCACTTTAAGCACCAGGTAAAGAAATTTACAAAACCTTCCAAATCATGAAGAAGATTGGTACATGGAAATGTGGAGATTGTATGAATCCCATCCAACCCCAACCCAGTTTTATTTCTTCTCTAATGCTGTGGAAAAGGAATTGGCCACTCTTTATGCATTACCATAAGCCATAGAAACAAACAAATCTAGTGTGGCATTATAAGCAAATTAGGAGAAAGAAACTGAATTAAATTGGAACAAGTTTATCTTTATGCAAGGGAAAAGCTAAGGTTGATTTGAGCATCAAAAGCAAACCAACCACTAAATAACAAGGCAGGTTAACACAAAAGAAAGATTCAGGGCTCGTTATAACTAGAAACAGGAAAGAACAATACAGGGGTAGCTATAATCCAAGTGAAGAAGTGAATCAACCAGCATACTAACTCCATCCTATGAAAGCCAATCCAAAAAAATGGTGGTTAAAGGGCTTCAGAGAATAGAAATGTAGTTCCCAAAACGTTCAGAGGCAACATAAAAATGCTGCACTGGTTTTAAGGAGAACATCTCTTTAGCTTCTCATTATACACAGAGCAAAGTACCCAGATGTTGAAATTAGGGAATCTGCATTGTCTACAATCCGAGAAGCTAAACCCATAAACGAAACATACATAATAATTTTAAAAAAAAGTACCCAAAGATCATAAACCCAAAATAAGCTAAACCCATTTCCTAAAACTAAGCTTCTTAACAAATTCAGGCAATAAGCGAGCTTGAAGAGTGAGTCACCTGTCACGAAGCTGAAGGTGGTCGATCATGGCGGACATTCGGATCTTATCTTCTTCAGGGAGACCCTCGAGACCTGCTAACATGTTCTTGTCCATACTGGATCCTGTCTTTTCCAATCGAATTTCCTTGCAGGATTTTCGAGAGGAGATGAGTAGGGTTTAGGTCAAAAGGGCTTAAACTTCCCTTCTTTAAGTAACTGATAAACCCTAGGAATCAGCGGACCAGAAGGGCGTTGTTCAAGCCGTAATGGGCCATAATTTGACACTTGGGTTGTGTTATGACCCGGGTTATTCATGATAAATTTGGACCTTTTGGCAGATCCAGTGGACCCAAAATTGACCATCAAATGGTGAGGGTGGGCTCAAGACTGTGTCAAATGGGACAAAAGGATCTGAGGCGGATGCTACGGTTTCGTCGTTTTTTGTTGATATCGTTTTGGGAAACGCACCCAAGCAACCATCTTTATTCCTTTTCTAAGCAATCCATCAAGCAAACTAATTAGAAGATAAATGCATGTATTGTCCAGAAAACAAACTAAAAACATAATTTCTTACTTTGAATAAAGAAGAAGAGGAAATGCCATCAAGCAGGTTTTCAGGTTCACTTTCAGCACCAAGTGTTGATGTAACAATAGACACGGGCAATCATTTTGTCAATCACACTTTAGATGGTTTCTTGAAGATTGGAACTGTAATTTGTGATTTAGAGAAAAAAAAAGAGATTTTATGGGCTATTTCTATAATTAAAATCATACTTACTACGTTGCTATGGCTTCTTTTCAGGTTGCAGCTACTAGGGCAGTTGCAGAGGATACATTCAAAGCTATCAACAGGGGTTATATTCACTTTTCCATTTTTTTTTTTTTGCCCAAACTCTGTTTGAGTGATTAAGTTTTATGTTTGTTTTGATATCAAGTTCTTGAGATTTGATAGAAAAGATGCACTGTGTCTGTTCAAGTACACAAAGGACTTCTCAAGTGTTTCCTAGCCAGTTCCCCAGACTAGAATATTGCTAGATTCCTAAAATTTTAACTTAAAAATTCGTTATACAATGGTCAGATCATATCTGAAATATTATATCTGCCACGTTTGCAGGGAAGGTATCGAAACACTGTTTGGAGCATTCAGTAAGTGTTTTTTAGACACTGCCAGTTGCTTTCTATTCAAGAAAGTATGGTTCCTTTTCTGTTCATAGCAACATCTTTAGAGGATGCTTAGGATCTGCATTTGTTGATTGCTCATCAACTTTTGCATAAGCAAGAATAGTAGTAGTTTTTATTGTACAAGTCGTAGCTGCTCATGAATTTTACATAATCTTCTCCTCCTTTTGGGAAATGTTGTTATTGCAGATCAAGAAGATGTGTAAAGAGGGTGCTTATTGGGGTAAGTATGTGACATAATTACATATAAAAACTTCAGTTCTATCAGATTTTCCAAATTTTTTTGATAATTATTGTTGCTTATTTATTGCAAAATTAAAGAGCATTCATAAATTTCATTTTTTTGCTCATAGGAACTGTAGCTGGAGTATATGTGGGAATGGAGTATGGAGTAGAGAGGATCCGTGGCACAAGAGACTGGGTATGTTCACTAGACTTGGCACTAAATTCTCTCTAGTTTATAGTAAAGGGGAAAATTTTGCTGCCATTGAAAAGATTCAAACTCCATTTTGATCATAATCTCGATACATAGAGTTTCTCATGAAGTTTCACTTCCATTCTTCTTGGATGTGTTGGCATATTGTGTTACAGAAGAATGCCATGATTGGAGGTGCCCTTACAGGGGCTCTTGTCTCTGCAGCCGGTAACAATAACAAAGACAGGATTGTGACGGATGCCCTCACAGGAGGCGCCATTGCTACTGCCTCCGTGTTCCTTAACTATCTTACCTGAAAAGAGCAGACTGAGTTTCTTTATCTTGTTGCATATCGAGTATTGCCATGTAGTGTGATCCCTTTCCTTTGTGAATTTATCTGGTTGTAAGAAAAGAAGGATGCAACAATAAAATAACAGGATGCCGTTTGTTTTTCCACAATTGTTTTCTTTTCAGCTAAATATCTCTGTCTGCATGCCATTGAGCTAAAAATTTTATCTCCTTCAACTATAGTTTCTTATCAAGCTTAACCGAGCAGAAGAAAGTTATCCAGAATATACTTTCAACATCAGGTTATTTTCCACAATCACATAATAATTAGACCAAATATACAAAACATTCTTTCTCTTGAAAAGAATCAATTGAAAAGAACAAATACCATTAACAAATCACAAGGATACAGGCTTACAGGCTGTCTTTGTAACCGCTCACCAAGTTTCAGTAGGCTACAGGTTTCAGCATCTGGCCTAGCCCCTCCCAGAATCATCCTTTTCAAAAGATTAGGGTCATAGATTTTGGCCTTGAAATAAGCCTTGATCAAAGTATTGTGAGATAGGATGTCTCAATTCCCTCATTTTCTTCATGCACTCAAGTGAAAGCCTTATCAGGCTATCCAAGCGCGCTATCACAAGATTATTGTAAAGCAACTCATTCTGAAACTCGAGGGACACAACTAAATAATTTTTGGTTGTAAATTCCAACATGTAAGAGTAGTCTAATTCTTTTGTCCTGTACGGTCTCTCTCTAATCACCCAATCCATCACCTATAAGAAGTAATAAAATTTTCAGGGTTTGATCCTCCTGCCGTAATGCAGACTTGTCATAGCAAGAACACAAGTACAAATGCACATAATTTTTCAAAGGGGTCACATCAATTCCCATTTTGGCACCAAAGCTAACAGATTTCTATACACATACATGTATATGTGTGATCAAGTGCTCAACTAATGCAAATGCTATGGCTTTCTACATTTTTTCTACCATAGATACTGTTTCAACATTCTAGCATGGACAAAATAACAACTCAACATAGTAAATTAAGTTCTTCAAATTTCAGCATTGGAAACCTCTGATGTATTTGAGATTGAGCCTCTTCCTTACTTTGGAACAAAATTTTCTCAATAGCTCTTTTGCCAATTATTCTTAGCAATCAGACAAAGTATAAACCACCCCCCCCCCCAAAAAAAAAAATTAGACTAATTTTTGAAATAGAAAATTACCTCAATACGGTGTCGTAGAGGAACCACTGTTTGCATGCTTCAGCCCCGAGTTTGTAGCTCGGTAAGTATTGGGGTCGAAGATAGGCCCATTTTCCAAGAACGAAACACCATAGCTCAGCTAGCTTTCCTCTTTATGGTTTACTTTAGTTGAATTGGGCTGGGTTTCAAGCTAGCACTCGGCTTTGAATTATTTTGTTTTACTATGAACATATAGTAACAATTTCGTTTAGAGCAACATTAAGTTTTAATAATTTTGGATTAGGGTCATGACGATTTTGAATTAATAGAAATTTCAGGTTACATCAAGTTAAGTTCATTACATTATTAAATGAATTTAGATTGAGTTTCAAGCAGACTAAGATCATATGTTTGGCTTAGATTATCTATTTATAAATGCAAAATAAACACATAATAAAGTCACTCAATACATCATAACATGTATTTTTGTTTAATAAATAAGAATATTTATGAGATAAATTATTTGAATTTATTCATTAGAATTATAATTCAAATGTTTTTTGGTTATGTAACACATATTACAAAGAGTTCAATCATAAAATGATATCCATAATACAATAAAAATTTATTTTATAACATATTAAAATGAAGTGTCAGGCATTTTTATTTAAATTGTTAACGGTTTCGTGGCTTAAAATGTCGATGAAGGCTATGGGATAGGGTAAACAATGTATCAATGAACATTAAAAAATCAATTAATTGTTTATATGAAAATATAATAAGATCATCTGTATCCGTATAAGTAAAATCTAGCCATGAAACCGGTGCCAATCGAGCTGATAATGGTCTCTATATAGAAAATGGCAAACATTGACTATACCAAAAATTTAGTTACAAAGCTGATCAATTCAAGGGACCTTATATCCCACATTTATGACATCTTGTTTAGTCATGAACATGGGTTTCATCAAGAACCCACATGTTATGAATGATCAAGATTCATGTATCTTAGGAAGCAATCTATTTGGATTAAACTGCTGTCTCACACACAAAGAACTTCATCTAAAAGGTCATCAAAAATTAAATCTTCTATCTCAAGTGCCACAAATTCGGATTCATCTTGAAGGTTCAGCAGAGTATCTTTCGCCAAATCTCGAGCTACAATATCATCTAAAGACCGGTCAGATTGTGGTTCGCAGGCAAGGTTCCTGCTAACTTTTGTCCACACCTCTTGAAGAACATTGTTTCCCTTAAGCATTAGACTAATGCGACAGTTAAAGGAGAAGGGCTTGGGGAAATATATTGATGATTTTTCACTGATCTCAAGAAGTGCCTCATTAACTAGATCAAAAACGAGTTGGTGATCACAGTTGCTTCCAACTTCCTCAATGGAGCATTCCAGTTCAGGGTGCAACAGGGTCTCCAATTCCTTGAACAATGAAGGGTTCAATGGTTGGTCTGCTGAATACCATTTCTGGAGGTAATCACTTTGTATGAAACCTGACAGCTCAAGAATATCTCTAACATAATGGTAACAAGGATCAACCTGATCTTTATCTGAATCAAAGGAGAGGAAGCGACTGCTGATTCCTACGGTTTCATATTCAACACTTTCGTGGCTTTTTACGCGTCTGTCTTTTAACAAGGTAAAAGACTCTGCTTCCTCTGCAGGATGGCTTGGATGATTCAATCCTTGACCTGATAAAAGTTTATCCAAAACAATTAGCAGCCACTCCTCCAACAATATATAGGGAAAGGAACAATTTAATCATCAAGTTTAAGCATGCTTTTCAACACCACATAGATCATCAAGGAATAAAGTTTATTGATTATGCATTTGAGAAAATAGTTGAATCTAACGATATTTGAGCAAGAAATCCAAAGTTCCATTATGCAAGTTCATATTGTAAGGTAGACGTGTTTACCTTCTGGGATAGAACTTTCTGCCCTGCTGGTTATGTCACTTAAATCTGAAGTTGGTTGTGTAAGCTCTTTGCTTGGATTGACTGCAAAAACAATCTCCTGCTCTTGTTGACGACTGCTTTTCTCCATTGCCAGCTCAACTACATCTTCATCAAAGTCACATGGTTTAGCAAATTCTTCACGATTTCTATCCACTAATAAACCAGTAGAACTGCGGCTATTTACTTCCATCATCTTTTCCTGTAATTCAGCCTCTAGAACAGCTTCTACTAGTTCAAATTTATCCATATCTTCAGGGAAACTAATTGATTGTGGTTCATTATGTGCATCACTTTCCTTGTTTGCATCATAATTTAGGATACTCCTAATTGGCATTTCTGAAGAAAGAGCATCGCGAGACACCTCCTGTAGAAGGGAGCAAAAGGACTCCAGATCAGATAGAGAGGAAATCCTCCTGAAAAAATTCGGAGCACGCCCTCTTGATGGAACTTTGTCTTCAGTGGTCAATTTTAAGCTCTTAGAGTGATGCAAATCAGCCTCTTTGCTTACAGTATGCTCAAACAATCGAGTATATCTATCTAGTGACTCATTTATAGACTTTGTTCTTCTCATCCTGTGGAGTCTAGCATTGCTGATATCATGATCAGAAGCATCGGTCTGAAAACTATTGAAACTGTTTATACTATCCTGCTCCATAGGTGTCTTTTCCAAGCTTTCAGAAATCTCTCTCTCATTTATGGATGATGTATCTCTTGAAGAAACCTGGTGGGTGAGTCCATCCACCATTGTGTGGTTAATACTCTTTCTCTTTTCCTTGAGGGCTTGCTTTATTCTCTGCTTAATATCCTTGATACGATTCATAACTAAATGATTCCACCTCTGGGATGAAGAACTTGCTTCTTCTGTTCTGATGCTCCTGGAACTATCATAAGTTCTTAAAGCCCTTGAATTGGATAATCGAGTACCAGGGAGTGATTTTTCCTCTTTCTTGAAGTACCAAAATTCCTTCTGCTTGTGCTCAAGTGTACTAGACCGAAGATATCTAGTGGTGCGAGGTGAATCAGGTACTGGAAATGACCCTGATTTTGTTAATTTTAATGTCTTGGAAGTTCGATTTCCAGGAAAATGCTGTGAAATGCCAACCTCCGGATCTTGAAGAATATCTAGGAATAAATCTTTGTTTATCTTAAATATCTCCAAAGCATCCATGCCCTCCTTAACCTGATTATATGAAACTTCTTTGTTGACCTTCTTAGAAATTGGCTTCTGATTTACTAGGGTTCTGGTTCCCCCTTTTTTATCCATCTTCTTCTTGAAAATAGCATGCTTTCCAGCATTCTCTTTGTGTTCCAAGTGATTGTCTGCATTCACTCTGTCATGGGTATCGGGCTTTTTACTCCTTGTATCTTGTTTCCTTTGGGTCTCTGGCAAAGAGGAAGTCAAGTTGCTATCAGAGGTGCCAGCTCTCTTGCGGACAAGAATAATTGGATTCATCCAACCAAGACCAAAACCAGAAGGCTCCAGGTGATGGGTTGAATCAGTTTGCTGTAACTGTGGTCTAGCAGAAAAGCCCAAAATCCAACGTTTATGGTTCTCTTCCCTAGGCTTTTCTTTACCCGCTAACCCCTTTGTGGAGGCTTTACCAGAGCCGCTGTTGTTGGTTGAGCTTGTTTTTCTGGTTTGCTGTTGAACCTGTTAAATTAGGCAAGTCAATTGATATTAGGGCTGAGCAAAATTTAGTTAAAACCGAAAAAATTAAAAACAAAAAAACCAAAATTTTAGGAGAAATTAGGTCGGATAAATTCAGATTATATGGGTATTTAGATTATTATTTCAGTTTAAATGATTAAAATGATCAATTTGTAATTTTAAAATATTAAACTGAATAAATCAAAATATTCGACTTAATACAAAATAAACAATTAAAAAATATATATATGATATAGATATATCTAATAATATGATATAGATATACTTAATACATGAAACAAAAATTAAAACCACCTAATCCAAGAAAGCCGACCGAAATCGATTATGTTAATTTGATTCGATTTTTTCGATTTTTCTTATATATATCGGTTGATTTGATTTTTATAATAAATTAAATTGATTAAGTTAGTTATTCGATTTTTACGATCGAATTAACCAATCAGACCTGTTTGTTCAACCCTAATTGATATTCTGATGTATGCAAAAGAAACAACTGCATTGCATGATTAACGACAACTAAAACTTTATGTTGACTTACATGGATGTTGGCTGTTGATCGTCATCTGCAATAGTATACATGAAAATACTAAGAATTTTATGAAAACTTACATGGACGCGGTCGGCCTCAACATCCAATAATCCTTGGGTTTCAACAGATTCACGTTCCATGGAAATAGTTTTTGGATTTGCGCAGTCTGCAATTAAGAAAACGAATGCTGCTAAGCATAAAGAAATCCCAATGAGCTTCTCAGAGAGAAAGTCCAAAAATGTATGGGTAATAAGATCTTGTTGAATCCGGTTGGCAAGGGAAAATCAGATTTCTTAAGATGAGATCTGAACGAGTTTCTTTTTAGTAGTGAAAAACTACACTGATTGCTTATTATAAATGTATATCAGTGCTGCAATCAAAATAGCCTAAACTGAACCATGCAAACCGAGCGTTTTGCAGTCTTATAGATAAAATTTTTCTGTACCATACATTTGAAAATTGGCCATGCCCCATTTTTTTCCTTTTAAAAGGTTCTCTTACACATCACAAAGAATTTGCTTCCTGCTAATGAGAGAGAAAGATGAAAGGATGAGACAGGCTGAGATTTGCTTACATCTGGCACGTCTTCCTCTGCTATACTTTCTGTGGGGGAACATCTTTTTGACATTATACCAATGATGGTAGTAAAGAACATTAAATATGCCCCCCATGCAGCCTGGATGATAACTTTCAAATTCAACATCATCAGAATGGTCATGAAATTCACTTCCCATGTTGAACATAACAACAAATTGATTCCTTAAAGCCTGAACCTCAGGAGTGATGCTTGATTTCAACTAGTAGGCCCAATCTCCTGTAAAACCTGATATAACAGAAAAACAGTGTGAAAACAATTAAAAAAAAAAAAAGGAACTTGGAATTTCCTATACCAAATACATCAAATGCGAATATGTAGAGGAAAAAATTCATTTGGCAAAAGCCTTTGGAAAGCTCTTTTTGTGGGATTGAATAGCAGATTAATTGTTCCTTCTGTCTGAACTAATGATCAGCAGAGAGGACTCATTCGTGTTTGAGAAGTTTGTGAAAATTTGGAGTTTTTTTACGTAGTTTTTGTCCTGGGATCTTCAATCTTTTTCCTCTTTTTTTTTTTTTTGTGAATTTGAAGAAACCTGCATGTAGATACCTTCTGATCATGTCAAGTTAAGAATAAAAAGTAAAAAAAAATCATCCAATTGGAATATAATACCACCATAAAACAAGAGAAGTCTTGACATAAACTTCTAGAGAAGATCAACAAGAAGGGTCAACTTTATTAAACAAGTTCAACGTGTGGTTCAAAACAGAAAAGGAGAGAAAATCCGTTTTCCATTTAATACCTTTTAATCAATGTTGAAACATCAGAAAAAATTTATTAAGCAATGAAAAACAGCTGTTTTCAATAAATTTTGAAACCAATAAAATTCATTATCCATCTCAACAGCAATAACATATAAATAACTGAGAAAACCGCATCAAAAACTTTACTTGGAAACCAAAACCTTCAAAATCTTACCTGAAATACAGAAGGGCTCGAGATCTTCTTTCTGCATGAGAGAGCTCAAAGCTCTGAAGCAAGCAAGAAAGTGAACGAGACACGCTTTCTTCAATCTCCAAAAAACTTAGAAGAAAAAGAAGACGATGAAGGTCGTTAGTCCTTGTTCATATTCTAGGAAGACCAAAAATGGAAGAAATAGTAGCCAAAGTTGGTTATATGAAGGCTCCCTTTGCCCGCCAAGACTGGTCCACTGTTTTGGTTTTTGGCAAAGACTAGTCTAAATACAAATGGCAAAAAGGGTCACGTCAGTGAAGCAAGCAATGGGTAGCATTAGCTGACCAACCATATAATAATATTGAAAGAAGAACTGTAGGATAAGATGTTAAATTCCCACTTTCTGTAGATTACCAACTATTTTTTCCTATCCAAAAACCATTACTATATCATCCTTCACCAACTATTAGTAGGAAGAAGAAAGGGGCCGGACTTGGCGATTGCAGGTTAGGCCGTTGTGGGAGATCGATGAAGGTGGTGTGGAATTGGATGCTGGTTTCAAAGCAGCAGTTGTAACTTACAAGTTCTTGTATCCTTTTCCTTTGGTTAGATGCATTAAAAGGGGAAGAGTAAATTCCACTCATTCGCAAAAGCAATCCAAATTTAATGTTCTGCCATGCACATTCTCCTGAACAAAAAGAATCAAATTCATTGACCAACATTGAAACTTGAAACTTTATATACTGGTTAAGCCTTTAGGCAAAGAATCAAATTCAGAAGACATGCACGCAGCATTTCAAATGTTTACTTGATGCAATGTTAATTGATAGTGGTTGAGAATTCAGCAGAAATGGGATCAACTGAGAGTATAAGAGCATCACTGTCAACTTATTAGGGGCTACAGTCAGTGGTGAGTCATGTCAGTGGAAAATATTTTACAAAATATATAGTAATAATCTAAGATTCTTATTTTTCAATTGGGTAAGTCTCCTGCAGATAGCTGAGGGTTAATGTAAAAAAAAAAAAAAAAAAAAACAGAGCTGGTTTTTTTTATCTAATCTTATGGCACGCATCATGCTATGCTGATTCAAAGATACCTAACAAAACTTTCAACCTGTTTTTTTTTTTTTTTTGGTCAATATTCCATGAAGTTTTTTTCTTTGAAGATATCTAACAAAACATTTAAACTGCTTTTGTATATAATCCATGAATTTTTCTTTGAAGATAGTAAGATAATTATAAGCTGTTGCTGTCATTATAAAACTTAGATCGAAGTTTTATGAAAAGTCAATTAAAACCCTTCAAATATTGGAAGTCAATGGTTGTCGAAGAAATGCACCGCGGAATTGTCCACTTCAGGGACGAAAAATTAGAACCTCAAAAGTTGGCTGATTGAAAATCAAGGTTTCAAATTATAAACCCGAATTTAAAATTTTAATTAATTGATTCAGATTGTAACAAGTGTAAATAAATAAAATTTTTGATAAATTATTTGTGAACAGTTTTGATTTTTGATTGTTTATATTTATTTATAAAATTTAACAAACGATTTTAAATAATAATTTTATATTTATTTATTAAATAAATTAAATAAAAATAAAATTTAGTTTATTTCATTTATATTTATGAATAAATTTGTTTAAATTTTATTTATTTTATTTATTTGATATTCATTTATAATAATAATAATATATATTATATTTTTATCTTTTATTTTAATCTTATTTTAAAATTTATTTATATTCATTTATATTCCAAATTTTTTATAAAAAAAATTTTAAAAATGTTTCGTTGACTTAAGATTAAGATTGACCAACAAAGCTTTGTTGAAACGTCCTACGTTGATATCGTCACTTTAGTCCAAGTTTTCATATAAATATTTCAAAGCATGGACTGAACCAAATTCAGGAGATAGTGTTTTTTGGGGTTCGGCAAGCGGTCCATCACAACGTTATCGTTATGGAAGCATTAAGATTACTATGAAATAGCCAAATTTTCCAAATTAAGTCAATTAGAACCTGAGAGACTTTTGTGTAACCTAAATTTAAATATAAAATATATATATTTTTTCATTCAATAAAGCAGAATCGAGAGGAAAAAAAATTATTTTATATTTAATCATCGTATCTTTTTTAAAATTATTTTGACTATTAAATTAAATAATTAAAAATAAATACTTGTTTTAATAATTAAGTTTTACAGCCTTTTTTTTATTGTCCAAACATTAAAGTCTACATAATTGGGCAGCCATTGGCCCACATGTGACGCCTTAATAGACCGAACCACTAATACCTGATCGATCAATCACTTACTCATACAGCAAGAAATGGCCCAATCTTAAACGTCACTAGGCCCAGACGAGCAACATAAAGCATAAATATATATATATATATATATTTTATAACTATATTTCATTTCAAGTATCGAATTTCATGCTAACATTTTAGCCATAAAAGACAAAGAAAGTATTTAAATCGAAGCATACAAAGTCATAAACCCAAACAGCTACCTATAGTCAATAGGCAAAAACACCTGTGCTAGAAGCCTAGGCCGCACAGGCTGATCATTGACCAAAGATCAAACCCACCGCAATCCCGGCCAACTTCGCCCGCACACTTACTTTTCACCTGCTGCTGATGCGGATGTTTGTCGTTATATGAACGCAGAGCCAAATTCATTCAGTCCTATTGAGATTGAATTTGTCGTGGTTGAAAAGATATTTCTTTCCTTTATATCATCAGAAACTCTCCAGCTATATCTTACACTCTTTTTTTCGCATCTGCTATGGTAAAGAAAAAAGTGATAGCACTTTGAAGAACACTTTGGTTAAACAAAAAATGGTCCAAAAGAGTTCTATGATGGCAAAATCAAACATTAATCAGTGAAACATGTTTGATTTCCTTCATGTTCTAACAGGTAAAGTGTTGTGTTTATGTTGCAGGAGAGTAGTAGTGCTGCTTTAGGTTGATGCTTCACTCGTCTGTTTCGTTTCACTTTATGAAACCACTCCCCATCGAGTTGTAATTGTAAACGAAACCAGCTGTCACTAGGTCTTCCTTCTTGGGTCGAATTTGAACTCCGGAGTTGGGCTGGAAGTGAACTTGTGAGTGTATGAATTGATCATAAGCAAGAACCTTTTGGATCAATTAAAATGAAGTTCAAGATATTGGTATTTTACTAATAATTTATTATGACATGTAATAAAACTTGAGTAAATAGGAACCAAAATGTCAAAGCAATTGAGTTTAGTAGGAAATTCAACATATTTTTTCTCCAAACGAAATGAACAGAAATAGAATCAAACTGATTTTCTAAATGCTTTTTAGAATATTTTCAATGTCCCGATTATTCACGAAACCTGAAAAATGAATGAATAATAATTTACTTCTGGAAAATATGGAAGTATTTCTTGGAAATCCTACAAAATTCATTTGTTCTTTTTTCTCTGATAAATGGTTAAAACTTTATTTTGGTTCAAATCCTATTAAAAAGTTCACTGGAGATTAAAAATTGTTAAAAAAAAACAAAATTTTTTTTTAATCCCTTGCAAACAGTCAAAAAATAAAAAATTAATTAATAGATTCAAAATAATTTTATATTTACAAAATAACGTCTCCATTCATCATATGTAATCAGATCCGAAATATGATATAATTTCGAAAGATGAATTGGACAATCCTAATAAAATTTCATTCTTAAACAAAAATTCATTTTTTGCAGGATCAAAACATAGGGAACAAGACAGTGATTGCAATCAGGAAAAATCCTTTCCCCTTTGAATATTTGTTTGCAAATAGTAAGTCAAGACCTCTCCATCTGCCTGCCTTGTTCACGCATGCACAAACGCATGATGTTTCCCCGTGGCCATGGGCGCAAGTGGTGGAGTTGAGAGATTAAAGATGGATAGCCAGAGAGAGACAAGATGTCACTTGAGTGGCCGAGTGGTGTTTTTGAGATAAGATAAACAGTGCAATATAGGGTAACAAATTTACAAAATTGTTACTTACGATATTTTTTTTATTGTGAAAAAAAAGTTTAGGAGTAAGGATATAAAGTTAGGATAAATCGTCAATCCATAAAAAAATTTATAGATAATTTTTTTTTTACTTTTTAAAAATTTTAAGTTTAAGAGTGAAAAAAATTATCTCATCTTTAAAGCCATGACAAATTGTTTAACTCATAAAAAATTTTATAAATTATTTTTTTATTTTTTTGAAATTTTTTGAATTTATAAATCGCTTATCAACAAAAAATTATGGGAATTTGAATTGAGTATTTTTCATTTAGATCTTAAACTTTAATTACTTTTAGGCTACGGTTTTAATATCTTACTAAAATTTTACTTCATATTCTTTTTAAGATTTTGGTTTATAAGTCATGTTAAAATAGGTTGGGGGAAAATTAGGGTCTTGACAGAAAATTGTAAATTGGGTTTGTAAATGAGTATTTAAAAACCCAAAATCAAACTTTTAATGAAAAATATTAAAGGAATTGATATACTCTTACCATTTTATTTTGACACTTTTTAGTTAAAAATAAAAGATTGAATTAAATCATATTTAAAATTTACACGTTCGATAATTAAATAATATATCAATCATCGAATCAAATATTTAAATATTCGGATGTTGTATTGAATCTTTCTAACGTAAAGAAGATGTGGGAAGAAAGAGAGAGAGAGAGATGTGAAGTTTCTGAAATAACAACCAACCTTGTTGTCAAAGATGGCAAATTTAAGGATCAGGATGTGGGGTGGCACCAGACAATGTCAATAGTGATATCCATATTTACTAGTGGAGAGTGCTGGTGGTGATCCTGATTGCCCTTGACAATGGCCATGGTGTTACAATTTTATTCCCAGTCAAACTATCTGGAATTGTGTCCGCTCAATGGCTGGGATTCCTCTGCAAAATATCTTTCTTTAAGACTGCTCAAATTTTGTCCCCAAATTTCATATCCTTGCAAATTAAGTTTCCTTTGACTTATATAACTTCAATATTATTATTATTTTTTATATTTAAAATTATCAAAATTAAATTCTAAATACTAAAATTATTATATAGAGATTAAATTTTGATTTTCACCAAATTTATTTTATAAATGACACCTATATTTTACAATAGAAAATGGGTTTTTATATGTTGTGAGGAAGTTCAAGTTAAACCAATGATCACAAAAAACAGGATTGAGACAAGAATAAGAATAAGGAGTGAAGATTAACAAATAGAATTAAACATATGACTTTATAGGGGTATTTTAGGATGTATCAATAGGTA